TCATGTCACCCAATAGCTCCTCCTGTACCATTCCCACCACCGAAGCAGTTGCTATTCAGCCCACATCAGATGGGGGCCGAAGAAAGAGCCATTGTCCCCGCTGGTCTTACTCTGCTCTTATCTATTGATTGGAAAGCCGAGAGGGGAAAATAACAGGTATTGATTACCACGCTGGGTGAAGCTGCTGGGCAGGACGTCTGGAGGGGTAAGAAAAGACGGCATTCTTCACCCTTGGCTACCCCGCTGCTGTCAGAACAGCCTCCACCGCCACTCCACATACCCTGTTACTGCCGCCTCCATCCCTCACCTCGCCTCCTTTCTTGATTTGCCAAGGTGGCTCTCCAAACTCTCTTTCTCTCTCACGGTTTAATGCCGATGTTTATCTCTGCTTGTGAAATGTATAGCCAAGCGCAGCCGCGGGCTCTGAACAGAAGCTCTGGCCTTTCACACACTCCCTGAGCTGCGGAGTCTGCCTCACCTTTCCCCTTCACCCAACCCCTCCAGTCTCAAGTAAAGTCACTGACTCTGGATTTGGTTTCTCGCTTTCATGTAGCTTTTTGTGCATTTTCCTTTAACTTCCCTCCCGTGTTCCTTGAGCTTGACTTTCTTTTTCTCCATCCATTTTGTTGATTGTGTTGTTTAAGTGTTCCCGAGGTCTTAAAAGATGCATGGTAGAGTATTTCCCTCGAAGCGCAGGCTCCATTAAACGTCCTCTCTTATGTTTGAGGTCTGTCTGTTCTTGTACGTTCTGCTGAGCTAACACAGTGGAGGAAGCATTCTCCAGCTTCTATCTGTCTCTCTGCCTCTTATCCTTTCTGTAAATACTGCATATATTGAAGACACAGTCACGGAGATCAGTGTTTATCTAAGTAAAGAATCACTACAGTCTGGCAGTGTGCAAAAGCCTTTTGATGCACAAGAAATTCTTGCAGTTGGCTGGAGATTAAGGAACAAATCCTTTTTATTTGAAGATGGTTACGGTGTTGTTTGAACAACTATGTCCCGTATTGGGGCGGACGGTGTTGCGTGCATTATCAAGTTGCTCTCATTGCGGCTGGTTAAGTTCCAGGTGTTCGCTATTAGAGCGGCTGTCAGCAGCCAAGCCAACCCTTTATTGACATGTTTGCAATGACTAGAAAGACCAGAGCACTTTGTATGGGAAGAAAAATGCATGTACACATCATTACAAATCCACAGGTGTTTTGTGAAAAAGGAAATAAAAAATGAGGAGGGAGGTGCCAGCACATCTGAACATTGCTCAAGTCTGGCAGCCTTTGTAGTCTGTTTTTTTGTTTTGTTTTTATTCCTTCTTCTGAACATACTTCCCTTCACGGAGGCCTGCACGTCAGATCAACAGATCATTAACCCGCTCACAAGGTTTTGTAAAAATGGCTATACTTAGTCTGAATCACAAGAATGCCTCCTATTGAATGCGCCCCTTTCTCTGTTCAAATAATCCATCACCAAATTGAGCAAAGAAAAACAGAGCCAATTCTAAGAGTCGCCAGGCCTCCTCCTCCTCTTCCTGCGCTATGAAAGATCCCATTCACACATGGAGCTCGGCTATAATAAGGACCGCCGTACCGACGCTGCAATACGGGAAAGCCCATATGGTCATGTGTATCATTTACCCTTTACAGAGCAGCTAACAATTCTAACAATTTAAGTAAAATGCTCTGAAGACGCTCACCAGTTTGTCGTAAATCGTGTAGATTCCCATTCATCACGGCCTCAGTAGAGGACCACAATGCTTCGTTCAGCAACCACGAGAGAGCCTCAGAACACTGAAGTAAAAACAGCAGAGAAAATTGCAGCAATGTTTCAATAAAGCCGATAAGGCAAAAACATTTTTTTACAGAGGGGCCTCTGTGTGGTGGTTTTCCGAGCTTTCAACTCCAAGGTTAAGAAAATCTGTCCTTGAGAAGGAGGAGGCGGAGGAGGAGAGTCACCATTGAAGAAGGGATGCTGGTCATGCACACAGCACAAATACTTAAGTTATTCAGACGATGTCCTTGATTTCAGCACCTCTTCATGCCTTGTTTTTCAAAAAGACTTCAAAGGTTTTTGGAAGAGCGGAGATGGAGGGAGGAAATCATTTGTTGAACATTCCTCGCACTTAGAGCACCATTCAAGTTTTTCTGGAGACGTCCAGAACAACCCAGATCACATAGACCTTTATTAACAGTTATTGGAAATATTTTTTCCAAATGTTTTGGTGATTGTTTTTTACCCCGATTGATACCAATCTTTTGATGAGTGGATTCGATCATCTCATCTAACTCATTAAGCATGCGAAGAAGCCTTTTCACCAAAATGTCAAAGTATTCCTTCAAATGATCAATAATAGTCAAAGGGCAAAAAGAAAAAGAATATTAAGTGACTCTACCCAAAGTTTTGCTGCAACTCCAACATAAAGCCATCTGATCATATATATGAAGAAAAAAAGTGTAAAGAAGCTTAAAAAGACAGTTAAAGATGTATCCCTGCTATAAGGCGGGGTTTGAGTGTACAATACGTGTCAAATGTCCTGCTAACAACACTGCAGACAGGTTTTGAAGTGCACCGTTGTATAATTTTGGCTCTTTTCATTTTCTCAAAAACAATGTAACTCCAGATAAGTCCCTCTAGTTTTCAGAATGTTTAGTTTGACAGAAGCAGTGCCTCTGTGGGGTGAATGTGTTTTGACATTTCGCTTCAGCTAAACCGTTGACATAAATCAGGCCTTTTCAGTCCCCTCCATTAATCCAGAAAGAGCACATGGCTGAGTAGCTTGCGAGACCACAAGTCAGAAGAGTTAACTGAAGCATATTTGTTCGAGATTTGGCACACATGTATTTATGTTTTTACAATGCGATTCAGTGTTTTAGGATCAATTCAGTCCAAATGAGCTCCAGCAGCCCCAAGCCAACGCCGTGACCTGTTTGTGTTCCTAAAGCAGAGTCTGTACAGTCAGAAACTGAACAGTGAGCAGCTCTGTTCTGCTCTCCTGGTAGCAGAGGAGCGAGATATGTGCCAGCTGACAACAACCAAAAAAAAAACTGTGGTTGCCTTTTCTCCACAGACATAAACAATGACAATTCCAATTTCCTCTGCATGCTGTGGAGACCAGGAAAGGCCGTCCACAGAGAGGAAGGAAAACTCTGAGTTTGTATGTGTGTGTGTGTTCATGCATGGTTGAAAAAAGACATAGAAACAGAAAAGGAAGGAGGTTTTCATTGGTTTTACGCTCATAAGTGTCACTTTTTTCCACTTTGGTTTGTGTCGTGGCTTTTTTATGCAGCAAAGGTCACCAGCGTAGCAGTCCAGATGTTGTACCTGCAGCTGAGATACATCTGTCTGCAATGTGATGAATAAAACAGCCAGATGGAGTTACCTGTGTCACCTTCCCCCACTGTAGCCCCATCAGTATAATGATCTTCTTGTTTACCATATGTGTGAAATGCACCAGAGAGTGTGTGTGTGTGTGTGTGTGTGTGTGTGTGTTTGAGCGTGTGTGTATGTGTTGGGAGAGGCCATGTGTACTTACCCTCCCCTTTGTTTTTACTGCTACCAGACCGGCCATTTGTTCTGAGGCACAGACTCAAAACAAATGTGTACTTTTGAGGGCTTTTTCAGCTATTGGGGTTTGGTTGCATTTCCCTCTCTCTTTCACTCCACCAATCTCCAGTTTCTCTTCGCGGTGTTCAGTCTGCTCAGTAATTCAGGGTTTGTTTAGTTTTTGGTGTGTGTGTGGGGGGGGGGGGGGGTTACTTGTACGCCGGGTGCTGTGCGAGCAGCGGCGCAGGCCTCCTAACACCATCACTGGGTGTTTCAGCCCGCTCCACTTCACCAGATCTGAGGGAGCAGACCTGAGCCAATTAAGAGCAGGGAGAACAGGCTGCTGTCCATCTCACTGCAACCCCCCCCCCCCCTCATCGCTTTGATCTCTTGCACGCAAAACCAGATCCAGAGCACTTTACCCTCTCTGTGCAGGCAGTGGATGACTGGGCTTGCCCAATTATTACAATTTGGTTTCAACATTTCTGGGTAATCAGACAAAAAAGATGACAAATTACATGTCTCATTTTATTTGCCCACATCCAAGTTGTTTTTAGAGCTGTTTCTAGTCGAGGGGAAATCAGCATACTTTATTTAATTTGCTCATTCCAATACACTACTTTAGCCAAGCTTCACACTAGTTTTTTTTTTTTTTTTTTAATGACATGGCTAATGTTCACACCCCATTGTTTTACCTTCCCCTTAATAGGTGAGGTGAGCTTCCACCAGATTTCCTCCTTAAAGTTTGGTGCTTTTCAATGGAGCCTTTAATGTAATGTGGTCTAGATCAGTAGTTTCCAAACTGGGGAAACAAGAAAAAAATAGAGATTATAAATTTTGTCCTGATCTTGAAAACAGCTGTTGGTAAAACAATTTCACCCTAAGGTCTATAGAGCAGCTGTCCTGGAGCTTTTGATGTCATAAAAATGTGCATAGATGTTCACATTTCTATTCCTATGAGCACTTTAAGGACTTCTTGTCCATGCTGACTTAAACGTTCCCATTAAAGCTCCAGAACAGCTACTGAATGGAGTTTCTGGAGAGGTTTTTGTTCGCCAACTAGAAAGAACACATTTCTGCAACAAATGATTTTTATTTTCTTTAGAATTTGTTGTGCTTTCGGTCACGGAAGAGGTATGCAAGTTGACTTTGCATTGTTTAAAAGGTTCACAGGTCACAAACGCTGGGAATTACAGATCTAGATGATGTTGCATTCTCTGTTTCACCCTGACATGAATACAATTTTAGGTAATTACTGCGTACTTTAGTGTTTTTTTTTTGGGCACTAAAATGTTAATAGATGTGGAATACCATCTAAAAACATTGCTATCGGCCTCGGAAACCCATTTTCAATGCCATTGCGGGCTGAAGATTAAAATACATAATTTGTTTTCCTTTTCTGAAACCATACTGAAGTTTTTTTTCTTTTTTTCTTCACCATTATTGTGTTTGCGTATCCTCAGGACCTCCAAGGGTGTCGGAGAAGATTGCTCACAGACAGATGGCCCGGCTCGGGAGCGCCATTAAGCTGACGTGTCCAGTGGAGGGAGACCCTCCGCCCCTCATAATGTGGACCAAAGACGGGCGCAACATCCACAGCGGCTGGATCCGTTTCCGTATCCTCCGCATGGGCCTGAAGATCAAGGAGGTGGAGGCAGATGACACGGGGACCTACATCTGCAAAGCCACCAATGGCTTTGGTAGCGTTAACATCAACTATACTCTCATCGTCATCAGTGAGTGCAGATGAACTTGTGTGTATCACATTAGAGAGTTTGTATAACCGGCTGCTCTGCGGGACCCTGAGATGAGATCATCTCGGGTTGTGAAATGTGTCACTCTTGTTAAAAAATTCAAGCTCGATTCAGCATCTATAAAACATGAAGTCACCTGTCTGGTACCTAAAACCAGAGACCATGGCTGTGAGTCACTCCCATGATTTTTACGATCAGACCGCATCATCTTCCACTGTGGTGTTTTTTAAGCCATTTTTGTAACACTTTCCTGCAGTCAAAAACCTCACAACAGTTCAAATGTTAACAGACAGCATCAGTCACAGAGGTCGAGGTCTAAAACAAGTGGATTTATGGAGGTTTAGTGGTAGATCCTCTCATCCATTGCATGTGTTACAGCCCCTACCTCTCCCTGCCCAAAGTCAACAGCGGCACGGGATATTGTTTCATACTACTTCATCCTCCGTGACTCATTGGATCTCAAGCTCTTCCTTTTCCTTAGGCTACACTCTGCGGAGGCAGGAGGTCTGCAGCTCCGCAATAAGACACACATTCGGTGTAATAGTGTCAGTTTGTCTTCAGACTCTAACACAGCTCTTGAATGGGGCCTGGAGGATTTCGCCACAGTTTGACCCAGTGTGTTACTCATTCGTGCGTGTGCATACAGTGCATTTCCTCTGCGCTAGAGCAGAGCATGATGAATGAGCGGAGTGGAGCGTGAAGGCTGTGTTTAGTCTAATTACTCTAAGATGCCTAATTAGGGTCAGAGTCTGTACTCTCTCTCTCTTTATCTCAGGAGGAGCTGCAGCCTGGTATTGTGACAGCCAGGCTTCAGAAGAAGAGCCACAATCAGGCAGATGTGGAAAACACAGAGCAGTGCTTTCTGTAGTAAAGCACGCTCATGAGTTGGGAACAGTCTGGACCAAAGTTTATTTTAGGGTCCACCTCAATATGAAGTTGCCAGGGAGTTCAAAGAGAGGGTGTCTGCTGATTGTGCTGAAATGAAAGGTTGGAGATGAAGGCATGGTGCCAGCTATAATGTCAAGGTTCAGACTACAGTTGAGCTATAAATTATCAAAGTCAGACATGGCTGTCTGTGTCTACATTGTACTTAAAAGGCATTCTGAGTTTTTATATACACTAAACACATCTTTGTGGAAGTCATTCAGAATCAATCATGTGATGGATAACAACCAACATGTCATTTTGAGTTTGTTTCAAGGCTCTGTCGATTGAATACTTTCACAATTATGCATTTGGATGTGATGGAGTAGGTCTGTTTTATGTTTTTCCACCGCAGCAAGTAAATTTAGATTATTTCAAGTGGGGAGTGGAGCCAATGTGAATAGAAATTAAAAAAGCAGCGTCACTTTGTGGTCGCAAGATTAGACGCTATTACAAGACATGATGTAGAAAATAAACTAGAAAAAGCAAGGTGTTCGGAAGACTTTTGTATGCTCGTTGTTGAAAATGATAAGTTTAAAGGTTGAAGTGCTGAAATAGTTGTAGATGAAGTGGCAGTCAAAATACAAATACTGAAATAAGTCAGATTAGCAGTTAAAAAGGAAGTGCTAAAAGAATATGAAGTTTCAGTTCAAGTGTGAGCACTGAATGAAATTGAAGTGAAAGAGTTTAAATCAGTTGAAGATTTATATGAAGTTCAAGCACTGAATGAAATTGAAATGTCAGACGAAGACGAAGAGTACGAGACCTTGGATGTGTCAAAGATGTGAAGTAGATGTCATGGATCATTAGGTCACGAACCGTTACATTAACAACTTTACATTAAAAAGCCTGTTCATGACTAGCACATGATGCTATCACACTTTCTGGTGTTGTTGTCATTGTTGTTTTTCAGCAATGTTTTGGCCTGTTTAGAAATGGAGACCTCATTTCTGCTGTGCTTCTGTTGACCTGTAACTGTAAATTAAAAAAACAAAACAAGGCTGCTTCCAAATAGTTACTTTGCCATCGTCTCAACTTTTATAGAGACAGAATAATACCTAACAATCTATAAAAGGTCAACTTGAAAGACTGTTGTTGTAGTTCAGATTCTGAAAAAGATGTTCAGATAACAGTGCAAAGACTTTACAACTGTCTTATAATGTAATCTTTTATTTCATATAAACCAGAGGAAAAGAAATTAGTACTTTGTAAGCAAACAAGGGAAAAAGCATCTGCAGGTATTCACTGACTACTGAGCTCGTTAAACATCTTGTTTTAATACAGTCTTGGAATTTGTTTTGGGATTAAATATTGATTGAAAGCGTGAGAGATCGAACAATGATTTTGATAAATTACAGCCACTTACACACACACACACACACACACACACACACACACACACACACACACAAAATCAGTCAATTATTCTCTGTGATAGATAACATTTTTTCCCTGCAGTGTGTTTATGTGACAGATAATTTGTCTGGTTTGGCTTCTGCTGCGGTACGACTGAGTGAGAATGAAGACTTCAATGAAGACAGTTTAAGACTGATGTGATGAAGCTGGAAGGGATCTCCAGGAGATCAGTTCAACCTGACTGCATGCGTTGCTCCTACTCAGTTATTACGTTAGGGAAAAATACCGCTGGAAGTACAAACATAAGTCTTTCTTGGAAGCATATTTCCATGAGATTTTAATCAGTGTTTTCGCCCTTTATGGAGTTACCTGGAGACGTTCTGGCCGGACTCTTAATCATAGTCTGGTTTGTTCCTTTTCCTATTTGTCCTCTGGTGTTGGAGAGTGCATGACAGACCGACCCTATCCAGTCTGCAACTCACAAGAACCGCCCCTCCCCTCTTTCTGCTCTCTTGTCCATCATCCCATTAGGCACTGGCAGGCCATCACCACAGCGTTTGTTTTTATAGATAATTGTTCCATCAGGGCTGCATTGCCTTCTGGGTGCCTTTTTGCCACAAAGATTAGAGGGCCTCAATGTCCAAATACTTCCAAGAATTGAGTTCAGCTTAATACAACCAAATAGTCTGCAATTATCATGAGCAACACTTTCCATTAACGTTGAATCACCTAATTGTAACCATTTGCATTTAGTTGCATGCAGTTTAGTGACTATTTAGAGATTATTTATTTAAAATACTGTAAATGAGGGGTAACTCCCGGGATAGCTCCACATACAGTATCCATCATGTCAGTTTATTTGTTTTTCCCGGATCACAGAGTGAAAAAGTAAGAGAAGCAACTGCAGTCGGTTATAGTTGCCGGTCAGGGAAGAAGAGTCAACGAAATCCTGACAGCTGTTCAAGGCCCAACGTGGAGAGCGTAACTTTTTAAACATCGCCTGGGACCCAGCAGAGAAGCCAAGCAGAAGAAAGACAGTAAGATAAAGAGACAGCGAAGACTTGGGACTAAGAGAGTGAGGGGTTTTGCAGAGTGATGTAAGGAGGAGGGGGGGGTTCCACTTCAGCTGGAGAGATATTCCTCCTCCCATCTGCCAGCGGACAACCCGTCCTCCCATGAGCTATCTGAAGAATCTGGTCGGTCAGTGCAACATGGCGCCTCCTCAATCCCTCCAGCTGGCTGTTTGCGCCCTGTTTGGGGTGGTCTCTTGACAACTGGCCCCAGCACCCCCACCAGGACAGACTGATGCATGCAGCAACCTCTCCGTCCTCAGCTGCTCAGTCTACAGCAGGCTTCATATCAGTATTAACATGGGATTGTCATATTAACATTCACAGCGTTGGATTCTAATGTTTATGTCTGCACAGATAATATATTATAGGGCTAATACAGGGCTGGCGGTGCTCATTTTTCCATGGACATTTTGGCTCTCGCGGCACATTTTTCATTTCGCTCCTCTCTGGAGACGTGTTGTCAGGCCCCCGTGTGTGACTGATCACGTGTGGTAGCTGTTTGGAGATTCCCTGAGTGTGATGCAAGGCCACTGCGCATAACTTTTCCTAAACATTACAATGTCCCCAACAACATCTGGAGCTCATTGTGACCTCAAATCATCAGGCCTCTTCCTGTGATGCAGCTGGCACAGGAGGCCAGCAGAGAGAGTGCGTAGTGACCTGTTTCCTGTGGCTAGATTTGTGAATGAAGTGGGAGGGGATGGCGTCAGACCCCGAACACTGTAGCGAGACCATGAATGGATTTAAGTTGGATGGAACGACGGTGATTGCATTTAAAACAATTTGATACTTTTACTTACATAAGCATGCACTTGAATCATGACTCTGATTGAATTTCCCTTTGCGTAACGAACCTTTGATTTCATACCGTGCACAAAGCATAAGGGTTGTTGTTTCATCACTGATTCCATAATAAGTTGCAGCTTTTACTTACTTACACAAGAATGGGCCTCTCAGTCACTCCTCATTTATTGATTATTTTATTTTTCAATCTTCCAAAAGTAACTAATCATATGACAGTCCTACCTCGCTGACTGCAGCAGTGTGGTGAGCTAATATTGTGTAAAGACAATAGTGGCAAGGGATAGCTTTAACAGGACAGACGTATAAAGGGCGCCATTGTTCCCTGGAATCGCCTACAAGCAGAGAGGAAATAGATTCAGAAAAAAGAAAAGTCAAAAAGAAAACCCCGGCAGTGTGGGACCGTGTTCTGTTTGGATTGGGAGGTTCAGGAACCGGGAGGAATGTGGAGAGCCCAAGTGTGCAACAGAGAAATATTTCTTCCAGTGGAGGCTGTTTTTAAAGGAATGGGTTATTATAGTTGGCCAGTTAAACCCCTTCAAATAGCCATGACATCATGGCTGGGCTTGGTGCTGCAGGGGACAAACAAAGGAGGGTTTGTACCCAGAGAACCCGAGAGAGCTTTGAGGGTTTCGGGGGGACTCGGAGGGAGGCAGAACGATGGGGGTTAGAAGTCACATCTGGCCTCTTTACCTGACCCAATCAAACCTTGATAGGCAATTAAGTGAGCCAAACTGCATCTAGAAAAATCCAACAATCCAACAAAAAAATGGCACGAAAGGTACAGAACTGGAGAAACACTAACAAAAGACTTAGACGACTATATCTAATGTGAAGTGACAGCTCAGTAGTATCCTATAAAACCAGCAGCCCTTCTTCAATAATCATCTGCTTAATGTCTCTTCTTTAGAGAGTGGCAAAAATTGGTGAGGAACCCGATCTGCTGTGTTAATTCAACAATGCTTAACTCGAAAAGTCGATCCGCATCACAAACCGTCGATTAGGTTTCACTCATTATATTTCCTCTAAGCCCTGTCTTAGCTACGCTGCATGATGTCAGCCAGTGACATAAACTCCACAGCTGTCTCCTGGAACTGGGCTTATGGAAACTGATCATATTACTACCAAATGCTACAGAGTACGACCTGAGCATGCACCTATAAATGCTGCATTTACTCCTATAGAGCCAAGAACACTTTGCTGGGCACTTCCCTTGATATGGCCATTCAAACTAGAAAATGGTTGATGATAAATAAATAGTTTAATGCTTCAGATTAAAGCCAATGCATAATACATTCGGACAATTCTGCGCTGTGAGATTTCCTTTATCTTCACTGCAAAAGAACACCTGTCTGTTTCCTTTTGTACTCAGCTGTTGACTAACTGTTGTCCCGCTGTGTTAACAGATGACTCGGGTTCTGATAAAACTGGATCCGTGGCGGCTGATGGAGCAGAGTCTGACCTGGGCACTGATGGCTTGTCAGATAAACTTGGTAAGAGCTCTGTTGGCATGCTATCAGTGGTGCAGTGGTGGATTTACCAGACCAGACCGGTGGTTCTGCATGTTTTATCCTGTTTACTACAAATCACATCTATGCTGTGTTTTTAGATTGTTGGTTGTATTTTCCTCCATCGGCTCAAGTGATGTATCTTCTGATAAGTTAAGTAACTAAATGTTTCCTCTTATGTCCCGTATAGTGCGTCCACGCTTCACCCAGCCCGCTAAGATGAGAAAGCGGGTTATAGCTCGTCCTGTTGGCAGCTCAGTGCGGCTCAAATGCACGGCCAGTGGAAATCCTCGACCGGACATTGTCTGGCTGAAGGACGACAGACCGCTGACGGAGCAGGAGGTCAGCGAGGGCCGTCAGAAGAAGTGGACTCTGAGTCTGAAGAACCTGACGCCAGAGCACAGCGGCAGATACACCTGCAAGGTCTCCAATCGTGCTGGGGAAATCAACGCCACATATAAAGTTGAGGTCATACGTGAGTATCCCACAGAGAGGCTGAGCTGTACGCATACCAAACGTATTCACCTGGAAATATTAATGCTACCAGATGAGGCAGAGGTGATTCATGTAAATGATGACTGCTGTTTGTTGTGATCTTTTGTACATTGCTGCGGGGGATTTAAAATAACGTAATCTCTGTAATAGTGGTTCTAATTTGACGGAGGAAGAACTGTAACCTTTAAAAAAATGTCCTCTCTGATCTACCTACTCATGACGTCTGATTGCGATCAGCAGGTCTTATTCATATCCTTGCTGCATGGATGAATGTGCTTGTGTAATCATGTATATGAGAAGCATATTGAGGAAGCAGGCTTGAGACTGAGGGCTTGTGCACTGGTGTTTGCACAGGGGGGGGGCTGTTCAACTCAGGGACCCTCCACCCAATCTGGAGCTGATTAAAGCCCAGCTGTCTGCCAGACCCACTGCCCCCCCTCTCCCATGAGAAATGTGTGCTGTACAACCAGGAGCAAAGAAAGAGAGGAAACTAATCACACATACTTCTTGTGTTACATGTGGTATCCCTCCCTCTCTGTCAATTATAACTTCTAAGCCTGAGGCTAATAACGGTATGGACAACTAAGACCTCTTCTACCCACAGAAGGGCTGTCATGTAAAATGTCTGTGTGTGTCTTGACAATTTTTTCTGTGTGTGTCTATGCAGAGAGGACAAACTCCAAGCCTATTCTGACTGGCACTCACCCGGTCAACACGACGGTGGACTACGGAGGCACCACGTCGTTTCAGTGCAAAGTGAGGAGCGACGTGAAGCCGGTCATTCAGTGGCTCAAACGCGTGGAGTCGAACGAGGAAAGCCGCTACAACTCCACCATCGAGGTGGGAGACCACCGATTCGTGGTGCTGCCCATGGGGGAGGTGTGGTCCCGACCCGACGGCTCCTACCTCAACAAGCTGCTCATTACCCGCGCCAAGGAGGACGACGCTGGCATGTACATCTGCTTAGGCGCCAACACCATGGGCTACAGCTTCCGCAGCGCCTTCCTCACTGTGCTGCCAGGTGAGGCCTGGGCAATGTCGGTTTAAAGTGTACCACTCACAAACATATCAGCAGCTTTGACAAAGATCAGTTTGTATATCACATGTGGCTCTTAGGAGTCTGCAGCAGTGCACATAACACAATAACATCAGAGGAACGTCAAACTGAAATGAAAGGGAAGGTGTCAGCAAAATGTACCGATGAGGACAGATGCCAACAGAGCAATGTCAGCAAGCACCAACATCCTCTTTTTATTTGATACATTTTTGATATGTTTTGGACTTGTGTTATTCTCCACCAAATAAAAGAAAACCAGTCAAATTCAATAGGCAGTCGAGCTATTCAGTCGTCTTTTTAAATTCTTGAGTTAAAAATGTTCTGTACATAAACTCAAGGATATTGATAAAGCTGTAAGCATTTAAGAGCCGAAACCATGAGGTGATTAATCAATTAGTCAACAAAAAAGAGTCAACAATTTTGTCATAAATCCTACAGTCTCCCTCAGTCGTGGAAGTATGAAACTCATCTCAGTTCAAATGTTTTGGACTGATCCGACCTTTTATTGACTAAATGCTGATTCAAAAAAATAATCAACAGATTAATGATCATTTGTTTTAGGCCTTAAGCACTTCACCTGTGCAATAGACGAACTCTGGGAAACCTGTTTTGATGCATCTTTGGTCCTCTTCTTTTACAGACACGAAGCCTCCCATCATGCCCATGTTCTCGCCAACCTCCAGCTCCCTCCCCTGGCCTGTCATCATTGCCATCCCTGCTGGAATAGTGTTCATCTTTGGCACAGTGCTGTTGTGGTTTTGCCAGAGCAGAAAGCACTGTCCCCCTCCCACTGCTCCAGCTGCAGCTGCACAGGTGCTGCAGAGCTCCCACCGGCTGCCGTATCGGGAGCGGGACAGGGGTTGCGTGGCTCCGTCCTCCAGCTCCTCCAGCCCAGACAAAGACTGCATGAGCTCCATGAACTATGAGGAGTACCTGGCACAGCAGCAGCTCCTCCTCACCCAGGGAGGACCAACAATCCCCCCTAAAATATACCCCAAAATCTACACTGACATTCACACACACACTCACTCCCACGTGGACGGGAAAGTACATCAGCATCAACACATTCATTTCCAGTGTTAGCCCAGTGCCAAACATCCCCCACTAACTGCTCCAGTATCTCAGAGGGACAATGAGCTCTGGACTTGGGAGCAGCTCCTGAACGACATTCACCCGGCATTACTCTTTATAGACTCTTCTCATTGCCAGAGATTATTAGGAGAGTGTGCATGAAGAAAAACAGCAGTGGCCAGTGACACACACCTTGGGTTTTTACATCCAAACTTCCATATTTGGTGCTTGTTTTTTTTTTTACCTGTCAGATTCTCACACCACTAAGATCCATTCATCCTTGTTGTGCACTTATTACAAAAAGGACAAGGACATTTTTGCGTGTGAGTTTAATCACAGCTATTCAGGCCAGCTGAAAAGTCTTCCTCAGCAGCTGAATTTTGCATTTTCCTATTTGAGGTGTAGCTGAAAATGGAGGTGAGGTTTTACCTTTCACTTATTCAGCTGCTGGAGCGCAGGGGCTCCGTATGGTCTGCCTGGTAATGAAGACAAAAATGGTTCTCAAGATTTACAAAAGGGCTGGTTTTGTGCCCTACTCAGGTAGTCTTTTTGTTTGTTGAAGATGCATAATGTTTGGAACGCTGACCACTATCCTTTACCTTTCTCCATCCCTCGCTTTTGTTCTCTGGTAAAAGTGATCGAGAGGAGACTGCTGGGTTTTTATAGCATGCAAACCTTGCCTGAGACTGCAAGGGATGGGAGAATTGCGTTTCCATGAATTGGTCTTCTTAATCATTTTTACTTTTTTGTGGTCTGTTCCCATTATCAGTCAGTAGCATGTTGAGATAAACCAACAGAGGATGCCACCTTATCAAACCACAATGTATGAAGTTGTAGTCATTTATAATCAAATCGTGTCTTGGATATTTAATTTATTTTGCTAAATGTATCAAAATTGTATTTTTCAGATTGTGGTGTTTTACATATCTATGTAATGTTATTAAAGTATACTGTTGTGTATAGTACGTTTTGAGTACTTTCTCACTCAGTTTAATCACATTTAGTTCATGCCAATATTTATGGTGTTTCTGTACTTAATTGGTTGTATTTGACAATCTTGTATGATGTATTTTGTTCAAAGCTCAAAAAATAAAATCTTAAAAAAAAAAAATCTGATGGTTTGGTAGTTTGATTAAATGACCAGAAACTAATTAGTCACATACCTAATGAAGATCAATGCTCGTGTTAAAAGCATTAAAGCTCTTCAAAGGCATTAAAATTCTAAATTCAGTGGCGGTTCCCCGTCCTAAAAAACACAAGGGCTGGGTACAGACAGGTCAGCTTTCTTCCTTTGAGCGAGTTGATGTGTCCGAGGGTGACGCAGAGGGCAGCCAGCAGAGGGACGAAGTTGCTGGGATGAATGACTGAATAGACACAACAGCAGTCTCTCACAGCCCTTTTTAGATGAGTGATGGCCCCTGCAAGACTACACCGAGTGACCAACATCTTTCTCCCATTTAAGTGACTCGACCCTCTGCGCCTCCCCCCTGGTCCGCACTACCACCTCATTCAACTCCAATCTAGGTAGGATTTCCTTTCACCATTTAGGAAGTGCATTGTCCCGCCTCTGGGAGTGATGTGACAGGGCCCTGTGACTGCTCGGGGAAGAAGGGGAGCATTGTGTCAGGTGAGCTCTTGTTTTGCTGTAAGCATTACAGGACGGGGATGAGCTTTGGCTCCAGACAGATGAGGGGTGAGTGCACTAAATAGCTTTGTATGTTTGAAGTAGAAATTCTGCACAGAACATTACCTTTTTTTAAGGCTTAACAGCAACATAACTTCCATATTTATTAGTAATGATTCAAATAAGATTCAAAACATTACAAATTCAAAGACCGCCCCCTAGTGGTTTGTAATCATGCAGAAAATAAAAAGACTAGACAGACTATCAAAGTCACTAAAACTTGTAAATTATCTTTATTAACTTTTTTTACAGTAACAATGACAAAGACAAACAAAGAAAACGATCTGGACACCAACACTAAAGAGAAATATACAGTATTCACAAATGAGCTCAACCCTTCTGGACTTTGGTGATTAGTTCATCACAAAGTTTGGTGAGCTCTTCAGCCTCCTTCACCTGTAAAAAGAAAAAAATAAGGTAATATTAAATGTCTTATCTTCAATACATCTGCAAATGCACCCATCTAATTTAAATCTTCACTCACCTTCTGATCAATGCTCTTCACCAGTGACTGCACCTTCAGCTGCTCCCGTCGCAGCTGAGCCTGAAGAGCAGAGACCTCAGCATTGTTCTTTGACCGCACCTCAGAAATCTCATTATTTGCACTGGAGAAGAACGATAAATGTCAGTCAAACACAATAAGTCTTGCAATTTAGGCTGTTAACGCGGTATAGTCAGGTTTCTTACTGAGTAATTTTCTCCTCAGCATGGGCTTTAAGGGTATGGTAGCGCTGCTCCTCCTTCCTGATCCTTGCCAAATAGTCCTGAGCGCACGCTTTCAGAGTCACTTCATTCTGGGGAATGTTAGATACAATTTACAAATCAAACTACCGCAACTTTAGAAATATGTCATGTCTGTGAGGTTTATAACAGGGCACATATAGGCCTTTTCTAACCTTTTTGTAGCCCTCAACCACACCCTTGTACTTCTCCAGTCTCTTGAAGAGGTCGGAGAAAGACCTCTCTATAGCGTTCAGGTCACTGGACACTTGCTCCTTCTCCAGCAGAGCCTCTTCGAGCTTCGCCTGGGCCAGCTCCCTCTCCTTCTCTTGATCAGCTGAAGAAAGAAATTAAAGCCCTTGTTAACTCATCTTTACATCCAATATCCTGAAGAATGCTGTGTACTAAAATTGATATCGATTTACCCATCATTTTGGCAATCACAAGCTCAAATTCTGCAATTATTTTCCTGTGTGGAGAGAAAACCGGTTACTAATAGTTTTCAGACATCGAATTAAAATGACAAAACGAACTTTAACAAAGCCCAAGTTACCTCAATTCTTGACCATCATCAAGCATCTTTTTACACTTTGCACTCCATTGCTCCTGATTTTTCTTTCCCTATTTGAGAAAATACACTTAAAGTTATTCATTAACTATAAACTTTTTCAAACAAGGGGCGACATTTTATTTAAATTTCTGCAACCTTGTTTGTTTTACAAAATCAAATTTGTACAAAACCATCATATTTTAAAATGATCTATTTGGGATTTGATTCATGGACCGAGTGGTTAAAACTTTCTGATGATCACAATTGCTTTTGAACTGAATACTGTGCCAATGCGTTCCTCGGTTTAAAAACAGGATTATCCAATTTTTATGAAACATTGATCTCAGTGAATGGTTTTTAGAAGACACTTAAAAAACAAGTCAGCCAACACCAACAACCCTGTAAGCTAAACAACAATTGACATTTGCGGGTTAAACATTTCTTTGATATCCGATGCTTGTGTTTAATAGAGAATGCACCGTGGTTTCTATGGTTGAATCAGATTGTTCTTTTCTTTAGTCTGTACAAAGGGTTCTGTATTCAAATAGACATCGAGTGGGACATACTTCTGCCTGGACCCGGGCGATGGCTGCATCCATGTCTTTCTGACTGTACTTCAGCACTTCAATAATGGCATCCTCGGTGTTTGCTGGCTGGGGGAAAGGAAGGACCGCAAGGATTGGAGCCTAGATGACAGAGGCATGTTGAATATTAACTTTGACTTATTTTTAATAAAAGGTTACCAGCCATAGTCAATGGTGGCATTTCCAGAGGGACTTACTGGTGCTGTAGCATCAAACAGCTTGAAATCATCCTTTTGTGGTCCGTTTGGAGTCTGTTCTGCCATCTGTGGAGGTTCCAGCCTGAGTTGGGGAGGAAACAAATCTCATTTTGTTGATCATGACGTCCGACCGGGACAAACTCGGCTCTAACATTTAGTGACCGTAGCGATCAGTGAGTGGAAACAGCAGCATTTCATACCGTGAGACAAAGGCAGCGGGGTGAGGGACGTGGGTGTGAGCAACTGGGCCTGCAGACTTCTTGGGGCTCTCTCTCAGGAGAGGGTCAAATTTAAGGTACAAGGATTGTTTCCTCAATGCAGATTCCTTGAACTGTTGACAAAAAAAAAAAAATATAGATAGATAGATAGATACACACACACACACACTATATGCTTAGGTCATGCAAAAAAATTAAATGAGTCATTCAACATACGTGAAGTAAGTACTTACAGTGCTGGACCCGAACTGTTCAAGGTAATCCATTTGCCCATCAAAGTCATCGGCCATGACTAGAGATAAAGATCACAGATTAAAAAACAACAACACAGAAATATCTTTCCATTTAATGCCGCTTCATAAATAATACAGAACAATCATTTCCTCAAGAGACAAGTAAGTTGACTTCTGTGTCGTTACACCAAACTGGGTGAACTCTTTATCAAACCACTTCTAAAACGCAAAGTTAAGGCAACAGAAACAGTCGGAGAGCCTTGTGGAAACTAGTGAAATGGAGTTCATGTCCAACGTTTACTTACACATAGTTCCAGGAACAAACTCCTCATTGAATGCTGACATGGCGGTCTCTGACTTTTGCTCCGGCTGACACAATTCAACAAGCTCAGGAAGACTCTCCGCGGGTCGTTCAGCTTTAGGTTGAAATCCCTCGTCTTGGTCAGAAGCAGCTTTGAATATCGCGTTCTGTCATTCCAGAAAAACAAAGCTTTTGTAATAAAAAAAACAAACAAAAAAAAAAAAAAAAACCCCACAACCAAGGGAACGTTAAACGGATTAGGATTGTATCAAACTGCATTACTTCTCTCACCGCTCCAGGGTTGGGCTGGGCTGCAGCTTGGACACTCTCTCCAGCGCTACAGAGGGCAAAAGCATACAAACTGACAGTGAAATTAAGTGTTGCTGACAAGTCAAGAGTTCACTGCAAATGGATGCTTGGTACACTCAGATAAAAGGTAAACATACCATGCCGAGGATACGGCTTCCTTCTCCGCAGGCTTCTCCGCTCGCTCTGGAATTAAAGTTTCCACGAGCACAGGGCCAGATTTCTTGCCACACTTTGGAGAATTGTTCATGCTTGCTTTTGTGCCAAAAGGATTGAAGTTTGGATCATCAAACTTGTCAAAGTCAATTGAGTAAGACCCTTTGGGAACATCAGCAGCGTCACTGGCATCAGGCCTCACTGAAGGTTCTTCCGGTGGTTTGACGTCACTCGCAGGCTTTCCCTCTTCAGGTTTCACACCAGCCGGCCTTTTGCCAAATTTCTTGGGTGGTGGTTTCCGTTTGACCTCACTGCCGTCACCGAAATTAAACTCAAGTTTGACTGGTCCTTCCTTGATTGGGGCATCAGCTAGCAGGATGGTGGATTCAGCAGCTGAAGTTTTGGCAGCATTAGCCGAGTTTGGGGCCACTGCAGCTGTGGGTTTCTTCTCAGGCTGAACAGGCCCCTCTTGAGTCACCTCAGGTATGACAACAACACTGGTGGGTTCATTTTCCTTAATCTGTGTCTCCTCAACAGTTAGGTCAATGTCTGCCACCGTTCTCCCACGAACAGGGGAATTCGGAAGTTTAGAGCCACCGGTTTGGAATGGATTGAATGCATCAAGGTTGTCAAAATCCAAGGAGTAAGCACCTCTCGCTGGCAGTGGGGCATCTTCTGCAAAAGTGCCTGACACTTTGTCTTGATCAACAGTTGGAGACATTTTAGCGGGTTGTTTTTCATCAGGTGTGGCAGTGCATGACTCTCGTACCTCGTCTGCTGGGACCTTCACCCCTGTGACCACACTGCTCTCACTGGCGATGACGTCGACCAGTTCCGGCGACCCTCGAGCCGCCTCAGGCATGTTAACATTTGTGGGTTCATTTTCCTTAATCAGTGTCTCCTCAACAGGTGGGTCAATGTCCGGCACTTTTCTCCCAAGGACAGGCGAATTCGGAAGTTTAGAGCCACCGGTTTGGAATGGATTGACTTCATCAAGGTTGTCAAAATCCAAGGAGTAAGCCCCTTTCGTTGGCAGTGGCGCATCTTCTATAAAACTGCCTGAACTATTGTCTTGATTCACATTTGGAGACACTCGTCCAGGTTGTTTTTCATCAGGTGTGGCAGTGCATGAATCTTGTTCCTCCTCCACAGCGGGGACCTTCCTCACTGTGACCACACTGTTCTCTCTGGAGCTGATGTCGGTGGAGACATCGACCAGTGAGTTTTCCATAGACGGGATGAATGGAAGCGTCTCGTCTAGTGCAGTTTCTATTTTGCCGTGCTCCTCCGAGCTATTCTCTGGTTCTGTATGTTGAGACTCTGTAGGAGGGTTTTCAGCAGCAGGCCTCGCAGGAGAGAGGACCGTCTGAACAGAACCCACAAACGGATCGATGGAGTCGAGGTTGTCAAAATCAAACTGATAGCCTCCTTTGCTTTGTATCGGCATGTCATCATCAGGGTAAGAGGACACTTCTGTAGAAAATTGAAGACGACCAAGATCACCAATTTTGCAAATGCAGAGACAGTCAAGGAAAATAATGTCTCAAAACTAATGTTGGATGAATTACCTTGTTTGGGCTGAGGCTGCTCAGTGGCATCTTTCTGTAAAGTACTATAAAAACACAAACCCGGTTACTTAAATGGAACAGTCATTAAATTGGAGGTATGTTGCAGTCTGAGAAATGTTACATACTTGAATTTATCCAAATTTAAGGACTCCATCACTTTTGTACACTCGTCCACACTTGTCATCCTGACAGGTTTGGTGGGAGATACAATTCTTTTAGTCACAGGGTCTCTTCTTGGAGTCTGAAAAGCCACCTAAACACAGATAATTTGAGCAGTATCGTAAATGTTATCTGTATGCTATAAAATATACAGAAAAAGAATATGAAAGTAATATCCAGCACTTTCACCATACGCAACACAAGCTAGTATACTTCTCAAATGTGGGCTTGAAACATGTCTGAAACTGTTTTTTGTAGCTTTGTCCAGCAACACACGTGTGTTTTGTTCTTATTTGAATACAGACTGTATAAAGCTGTGTTGAACTTTGCTGCAAATGTATTCTCTGACTAAACTTTATTTAGTCAGAGAATCAAATATAAAAAAATTATAAAACAGTAATAAAAAGGTAGCTGTCAATCTCCCCGTCTACCCCTTCAGGTTAACAGAGTCTAATAGCTGTGGAAAAGACTTAGTTTGGTGACAAACAAACACACGTGTCATTTTCCACCTGGTGTCATTATGGTGCGTTTAAAGAGTCAAGATGAGAAGGGGGACACAACATAAGCAGAGCTGGTTCTATACCTTTGTCCCCTTTGGCACCGCCTTGCTGGGCAGGTTCTCTGTCTGACGCAGGATGGAGGGCCTCCCAGTTGGCTGATCCAGGTCAAAAATGTCGTTAATTGAGCTGTTGTGCTTTCCTGTGGGGCAGACCCCACGATTCTCATCATTCACATCAACGGAACTCATCCTGTAAAAGCAGCGAGAGAGAGACAAACTAAGATACGAGGCTGGAACGATCAGATGACAAACTGAGGGAGGTGTCACCCTGAAAGCTGCACCCGGTTGATAAGACACTTTTGGTGGTGAGGTTTAAGGACGTGTGTAAAAAGGATCTGCACTGAGAAAGATGACACAAAGTTAATAGCAGAATCAATGCAAATGTGACTCGCCAATTCAATTGGGTTGGTGGATCGTGGTTGGCACATGCAAATACACTCCTTCCTAAAAAGTGGAAAAGTAAAGAGAAAATTTTTTTTGAACGGTGATACCTGAAAATGTAATAAAGATATTGAAGCTACACATGCAATGATGCCTTGTGCTAGGCCGATTGGTCAGCCGATATTAGCTTATTGCTGATATTTGTTGGTCTCTAGTGTACATGTTGGCCAATATGTAGCATGAAAAGAGAGTACAGCAATGCCAAAATATTTGAGACAGACTGTGCTGCCATTACATACTTTGTCCACCAGAGTGCACTAACCGGTTCATTTTTCAACTGTAAGAAGTCCAGTTCACTGCATACAATTCAAAACATTATCTGCCAATTTAACATATAACCTAGTCAAACGTTTTTTTTTATTATTATCAATGTAACTGATGCATCATCTTTCTGGTATTATTCAGGCTATAGAGCCAAGAAGTGTGAACTTTGACTTAAGTTAAAGTGGTTTAATATTAAAAACAGACAAAATACAGAGATGACTTGGGCCACCTGATCTGTCCTGTGACCTATGAGAATCTTTTCACACGTCCTAGCAGGAGAAGCAAAGCAGTAATTAGTCACATAATGGCTCTGTTCCATTTAATAGGTGCAAGGGCCCTGGAAGTGACTATGCTTTCTTTCATGCAGCCATTGTTCATGTTATTAACGACCGATGCTTCTCGTCCTATGACACGCCAAAATGTCTGCTTTAAAACTTGGTGAAATGTCCTGAAGCCATTGTAACACTTCGAATGAATTTTCAAATTGCAAAAGTGACTTCCAACTCTCAATTTTAGTTTGCTTCAATTAATATTGGGCTATAAAAAGGACTTCAATGATTGTGATGGAGATATGCAAGTAGACCGTCATCTTCCACAACATTTTAAATATTGCTCCCAAATATATTACATTTTGACTAACTATATGGTGAGGCATTAATGTTCGCATACAAGTGAACTAATACCTATCTTGTGCGACTCAACGTCGGATTTTTAGCAATATTAGAAATTAATAGTTAGCTAACGGTACCATCCAGAACGTTAGCTAGAAGTCTGTGATAGAAGCCACCAACGTTACGATAAACATAACCGTTAACGTTACCGTAAAGCGAGTGAAATAAAGACGTGGGAACAGACAACAGAGCAAGGCCTAAGCTACTATATTATTATCGTATATTTAAAACCTACCTCACAACAAAAAATCAGATGCAGTCTGTCGATATTGCAACGTCTTTCGTGAAAGTATCCAACTGCAGGGTGACCACGAACGAGTGGTGTGCTTTTTGAAAACCCCTCGCCTTGTCTGGGAAACAACCGTTTGGAATTTAAAGTATTGAAACGTACCAATGGAATCGCGAGAAACATTCAAAGGAAACGCGCTTCCGGGTTAAGCAGCCAATCGCTCTGAAGAGCGGATATGATCCAATCGTCGGCCAGTGTCAAAGAGAATACACGTGGCAAGATAGTAATCGACGTTGTCACACTGCTTATGTGCTAAAAAAAAGGCTTGTTTTTCACATATGGCAAACCAATGACCCTCTAACGCTATTACAGCGCAATACTGATATTCCTGTTGAAACATAGACAGACTTGGGTGACTACATGATGATTGATTGCTTCAAATGTGCCAAAAACAAAGGTGATTTGGTTTGTATGAGGGGCACTGAAAGCAAAGTGGTAAGTGAAGCCAGGAGACTTCTCTCGTTGCTGTTTATTTTTTAATTTGAGCAAAACAGAAAGGTCCCAGATCCCCATTTGAAGACCAAAATAAATTGAAATATCTAATTTAAATGAGACTAAACTATCCTAAAACAGGAAGCGTATAAAATAGTCAATTTAAGTTGTGATATGTCATTCAATTTGATTATATATATATATATATATTATACTTGAAATACTAGTGCTGGTATTTTGTTTTTTTGTCTCTCTGAGGGACTTTATGGTTTCTTCAGTATGTTCATGTCTGGCTGCAAACTGGGATAAACCTGGGACAGTAAAGATGAGTACAGTCAGGCACAGGACAAGTCGCGCAAAACACCAAACATCAAACTCTTCTGGGCAGTTGTTGAAACCTGAAATACAAATTGTCACCAGTCATTTTTCTGCCTGTATCATGAGGAAACATCTGACATGGTTTCAGAGATGTGTGAGTTATTTATAGACCTTATATATAATATTATACTACAGTATATTTTAATGTAGTGACCTCTGACTTATCTCTACTTACAGGCTCTACAAAAGGTAATATTGGTGTTATCAGTAGTACTTATACCACTTTATACTTTATCCATAAGTAATACTCTTCCAATGCGTATTAACAGACGTGGGTTTTGCACAGAATGTCTTTGGTTTGTATCCACTTATCCACCTGGAGCAGAGCATTTTGGCAAATTAGGTACTAAACAGCATGACTGGCTTTATGGCCCATATGTCCTTATATTCTGGTTCAATTTAAAATGAATTATCAAGTGTTTAATGCGAATAACAGTACATTTCAGTGTACAGTAGGTGTCAGTATGCACGTTTCACGCTAGTTTGTAGGCCTACCTAAAGAAGAAGAAGAAGAAGAAGACGATGATGATGCAGACGTCCTGCCCGCCAATTCCGAACGATGTAAACAGCGTCAGTCGTCCCTTTTCGACTGACTCTGTTAATAAGTTAATGTTACCACATAACATCCAACTTTTTTTTGTCAACAATGAATTCCAGCGGAAAAGGTAACGTTAGCGCACCAAACTAACATGCTAACGTATTTTGGTAACCTTAGCAAGTTACTATAACATTCATTCATGTTACCTAGTCGGAGTCGGCTAGCATGAGTCGTTTGCTAGCTAACGTTAGTTATTTACTCACTTTAACGCTGAAGATGATCTCGATCTCGATGTCTAGCATTTTGAACGCGCAGTTCTAAGTTAACATATTAACGTTAGTGTGTATAACGTTAAGTGACACTTTAAGAAGTTAAATATATTAAAAAACGTTCATAATCATATGATTTTGTTTACAGGATCTGGAGATTCATCTCAACTTGGTGCCAGGTAATGTAACGTTACCTTTAGGATGTTTCAGCCAAACAAAAACCAACCACACTGACAACATCACAGATGCAAACATATAGTCATGTGAATAAGGGCTTATACAATACATGTACAGTACGTTCAGTGTGTGTGTGTGTGTGTGTGTGTGTGTGTGTGTGTGTGTGTGGGGGGGGGGGGGGTCTTGTTTACGGGGATTTTGATTATTGACTGAGGAGCACAGCTACATTAGAGTAAACATTTTCATGTCCTCCAAGCTTAATGGGCAGCTGTTGTAAGTTACATACTTTTCATCATGACATTTAGTTTTTAACATCATCAGCTTAACTTTCCCGTCCTACAGCTATGATGGCGATTCCATCAAAGTTTTTGTGCGAGTACGACCTCTGACCCAGTGCTCCGGGCTGACCACAGATGGAGATCAGAAGCTGTGTCTCACAGTCACCTCACCCAACACCGTCCGTCTGCTATCAAAACCAGAACCACGAACCTTCACTTATGATCATGTTGCTGACATGGACACATCTCAGGTTGGAAGCTTACAGCTATTGTATTATGAACATGCAGCTGGCATGGGTAAAAGTACCGTGACAGACTAATAATAACCTGATTGATCAACGTGGGATGTGTAAGCTCATTAAGTTGGTCCTGGTCGGTGTGTGTGTTTGATTTTTATATTTCTCAACAGGATTCTGTATTCTCCAGTGTCGCCAAGAATATTGTTGAGTCTTGCATGAATGGATACAACGGTACTATATTTGCCTAGTAAGTGGTCTTTACCTTGTTTATAAACAGTATGAAATTACAGATATTTGATGGCACAACCGCGCTGCATTGTGCTTCATATGCAGCAGCCGTTTAATTCCTTATCAGAGTCCCCTCTTGTTTCTGCAGCGGACAAACGGGCTCAGGGAAAACATTCACCATGCTCGGTGAGAATTCAATTTATTCTTAACATTGTGTACTAGAAATTCTTTAAGATCAACAGATAGAATAATTGTAGTGACACTTTCTTCTCTCCCACTCTAGGACCATCTGAGTTGGATAATTTCACAGATGAACTGAGGGGGGTTATACCTCGATGTTTTGAGTACCTGTTTTTTCTCATCAACAGAGAAGTGGAAAAGGTGAGCTGTAACATTTCAGCACCATGAAGTTGTTGTCAACTAGTATTTCATGTTTGTTTTCTAATTAAGTTGATACTTTGTTCTTTTTTCCTAAAAGTCGGGCCAGTCCAAGAGTTTCCTCTGTAAATGTTCATTTATTGAGATATACAATGAACAAATCTATGACCTTCTGGACACAGCCTCAGCCAGCCTGTACCTCAGGGAGAACATCAAGAAAGGTCTTTTTGTTGAGGGCGCGGTGGAGAAGTTTGTCAACTCAGCTGCCGAAGCCTACCAGGTATAAATTCCTAGCTTGTTATGATTCAGAAGTTTATTGTACTGTACTTTTAGAGTACTTTTAGAGTGGATGAAACCCACATATCATGGACACATATTTTGTGTGAAATTTGAAGTGTATTCTTTATTGAAATTGGTAATTCATTTAATGCAGGTTCCATTTCAAAAAATGTACCGTGGAAGTGTACACAATTTGAGTTAACTACTACTTAGGTGCTGTCTATGGGCTGGCGTAATCGACGAGTGGCCTCCACCTCCATGAACCGAGAGTCTTCCAGATCTCACGCAGTGTTCACCATGACTTTGGAGTCCAAGGAGGCCGTCAATGAAGTGGTGAACATCCGGATGTCTCAGTTGAACCTGGTAGATCTGGCCGGGTCTGAGAGGCAGAAAGACACACACACAGAAGGCTCCAGACTCAAGGTGGAGCTTCGTCCATGAGTTCAGCCTCATACTGAGTTACTACATTTAGGATTTTTGCTGTTGCTAACAGCTGTTGTCTACATTGCTTCTCTTTCAGGAGGCCAGCAGCATCAATCGCTCCCTCATGTGTCTCGGTCAGGTGATAATGGCACTGGTCGACGTGTCCAATGGGAAGAACCGCCACATCTGCTACAGAGATTCTAAACTCACCTTCTTGCTAAGGGTTCGTGATTCTAAATAACAATGACATCTTGATCTTTGGTGGAGAATATGTTTTGTTGCTGAGTATCATTGTGGAGTCAACTTCCCTGGAACTATGGTATTGTGTGTTTAGTGGCATAACTCAAATGCAATTACTACGTAAAACACACATTTTCATGCTTCTATTACGTCTACTTAAATCACTATCGGAACGAGATTGTGTTATAAATATTTGTGGATGTGAAGCATCGATCTTGTGCACTTTCAAGTATTGAATTTGGCTTCACATTGATTCATATTCTTCTTTGCTTTGGTAGAATATAATACTACATTTAAAGATGTGGTTGATTGCACTTTATAATTTGAATAGATTTGATGCACTGTAACAATATGTATTGTTATTTCAGGACTCTCTTGGAGGAAATGCTAAGACTTATATCATAGCCAATGTACATCCTGGTTCAAAGTGTTTTGGAGAAACGCTGTCTACCTTGCAGTTTGCTCAGAGAGCAAAGTTGATCAAGAATAAGGTATCGGTCATTAACACTACTCTATATCATATTACAACAGAGTAGACTTTAAACAAGTTGAGCACTTTGTCACCCATGTGCTATTATTTTGTTTTGCCAGGCCGTTATCAATGAAGACACACAGGGAAACGTGAGGCAGTTACAAGCTGAGGTGAAGAAGCTGAAGGAGCAGCTCGTACAGGTGCTAACTTCTCAGGGAGTGGACCGTGGAAGAGATGTCGCGCCCGGAGGACCGGAACTCCTCAAAGGTAACGATACACCAAACAGATGTTAACCACAGCATCCTCTTTAATCCATTTGCACACGCTGAAAAATGTAAATGTATTAAAAAAAGAAGTTCAGGCAACTGTATTGCATGCAGAGTTACGTGTTATTAAACAAGTGTTTTCTGGCATGTTGCAAAAGTGTAATTCAGCTTTTCTCATCCGATCCAAAGAAATCCAACATGTAGTCTCATACAAAGCAAAGTTTATGGCTTCTGTTCGTCTGTGGAGGAAGCGAGACGAGGAGAAGAGGGTATGGGAGTTTACGTTTTTTTTGCATTGACATTTATTTGGGGAAATGTTGTAAGTAAATGCTGTTGGTGCAGGAAACTTACAATAATGATTTACTACACTCAGACGCTGCTGGAGAAAGTGGCTCGGCTTGAGGAGGCCTGGACCCAGAAGGACAAGTTCATCCACTCGAGCCGAATGATTGTCAGGTTTCGAGAGGACCACATCGCTCGCCTTGAGAAGAAATTGAAGACGGAAGAAGGCTCACTGTCGGACAAGGAGTCTCAGAATCTGATTGATCAGCTGAAAGAAGAGATACAGATCTTGAGAGACCAGGTACAACATCTGATCCCATTTGAACGCTGCCTAACCCGCTACTGACGACTGTTTATGGGTCTACATTCAGATTCACAAAATATGGATTGATCTTTGGGGAAAATTGGTACAAGTGTGTTTGATATAAATGCAAGAGTTGTATAAATAGGAATATTTCTTGAAATGTACAGTATAAATGCAGAGTATTGCATTGAATTATTATACAATGTATGTATTTATTTAACATGGCTAATGTAGAGGAGCTATAGTTCAGATGTATAAAACATTTTTTTAAATATATTTACATTATTTATTTCCTCTTAAATCCAAGATAGGTTTGTTGGTAGTTCCTTCCTCTAAAAGGCACAATAGAGCTACATTAGATCTTCTGCATTATTTATATTTCTGGAATCAAAGGGAATAAATTCCCCAAATCAGTGCATCTGTGCAACACAATATTCCCATGTACACAACTCTGCTCCTTTCAGGTGGACCATCACCCAAAGATGACGCGATACGCAGCGGAGAACTTCAGCCTCAGGCAGGAGAACCATCAGCTTCGTTGTCTTGAATCGGTGGTAAAAGCTGAAGAACTTGCCGTCCATGTTGCCGCTGAGTTGGAAGAGGCCTTCCAGAGGGCTGTGGAGAGCGAAAGACTCTCAGAGAGTAAGATCATTATCAGCTTCAGTTGAGAAAATGTCAAGTAAATGTGAGAGATGTATACATTTGAATGAACTCGTGTTGCTCCACAGCTCCAGCCTCTGTGCCTGCAGATACTGTCTCTGCAGCTCCGATGGAGAGGCTGAAGGCTCAGCTGCTTCAGAAACAGTCGGACCTCACAGGTGCCCTTCAGGCCTTTGAGGTGTTCAAAGAGATCACCAAGTAAGGAGAGCATTTAATGAAGGAATCCACTCTGTGTGTTTTAGACAAGCCTGGCAGATGTTTAGGAACAAGTAAAAAGCAAAAGAATGTATTTGTAACTAGTAGACCGCCTTTGTGAACTTACACTTTACTCTTTTCATACACATTTCTTTATCAATAACTGCTGTCTGTATCGTGACATGATGCCAAAAGAAAAAGCATCTTAGTTTCCTGACTTGCCTTTGGGCTGGTTCATTTGGAAAAACAACATCTTACTGAGTTTCATATATTTTACATATACTTGTAACTGTAAATCCACTATTTGTATACATTAAATTATTATTGCCCAGCTGGGATTTCTAGCTTCAGGAAGAAGCGGTTCTTTTTTTTTTTTTAAATCATATTTCATTTGCCTTGAAAAGGCAGAAGTTTGACAGAGCTTAACGTGGTATTTGGATGGTGCTTTGTGTTCCAGCAAACAGATGTCACAGCTGGAGTCTGAGAAAAGATATCTTGACAAGTCCAACAGGCATTTAGAAAACATTTTGGAAGCCACAACCGCTTGCAAAAATAAGGAGGTCTCTGAGCTGAACAGAATTCACGTTGAAACTATAAAGGTGAGTGGATGTTGAAATTTAAAATTCAGATAACGGTAATCATTGCGGGATAGAGCATGGCCTTGGTGGAGGTTTGCAGTCTCCAAGTGACCCTCTAGTTCCAGCATTGTGACGTTTTATTATATTTTATCCTTCTAATGTCTGTTGTACCAGATTCTCACCACGCCCACCAACGCGTACAACTTGCGGACCCGTCTTGTGCCTCTCTCCAGCCCAGACCACCTGAATGGGGCAGACGACATCTGGACCGAGCAGCCTCCTTCAGACATGACTGAGATGGCCTTGACTGAGGAACTCTGTCAAGTGCAGGTACAACAATGTGGATTATCCTACAAATGTCTGCACAAAACACACAAATTGTCTCATACTTGTCTCGAAATTCTCACCAGGAACAAGCTGGCCGTGCTCAAACACAGTTCAATGAGGAGGAGCTAAAGAACAGCAAGCTGTTGCAGAAAATTACAAAACTCGAGGAGCAGCTCACTGTGACATCACAAGAGTCTGACCGCAAGGATGAGGTAGATGTTCCTCATGTTCCTCCTTTACACATTTGTCTTGTCAATATTTAACATTTTGGAAAAAACGTGATCTCCTTTATTTAACTATTTTTCAAATTGTTCTTTATGCCCGATGCAGCTACTTTCTTCTGAGCGAGCCATCAGAAACAGAGATCACCTCAACCTGCAAGAAACTGTCCATGAGCTGCAACAGAGCCTTCAGTCTGAACAGCAAGCTGCAGAGCGTAAGGATAACATCTTTCTCCTGTGTGGTTGAAATCTCTTCTTTTGCCCGTCTGGACTTGTTGAACTTGGATGTTTATGTGAGATGGAGGTCGGGAAAATGGCACCAATGGGACGACTCTTTCTTTTCCCTTCTTTCAGTGCTGAGGAGTGAGATCCGTGATCTACGTCTGGTGCTGCAGTCGTCGGACACAGAGCTGGCCGCTGTGAGGAACGACCTGAGAGACGACCAGAGCGAGAAGCAGAGAGAGATGAGCCAGCTCTCCAACAGTCTGATCAGCACACAGCTCCAACTTGACAAAGTCCAGTAAGCACAAGTTCAATACGTCTGCACTGTGACTCTTCATGTTCACATGTATGGTTTAAGTACCATGTCTTCATTCCAGGCTGGAGTGGGAGCAGCTTCTGGAGCAGCACCGGACACTGCAGGATGCATTCGACCAGCTCCAAGCTGAGGCCAAGTTTGAGGCTGATCAGGCAAGACAGCAGCTGCAGGACAGGCAGCAGGAGATCGATGAAATGAAGGCACAGCTCACGGTTAGTGAACTCGTAGCCTCGCCTTTGGTCGTGTTTCATCCTGAAATTTAGACTGTGATCTCTGAACTGTCTATAACTTCTGTATTGTAGGAGTTGAATAATTCTCTGCAGACTGAGCAAGAGCACACAAGCACCCTGGTCTCCCAGTTAAGAGAAAACAAAGAGAGTACATCAAAGTAAGTTTGTCCAAAGCTTTCTCCTTTTTTTTTTTTTTAGAGGTTTTCAACACTCAAAGTAACTCTTATTAACATGAGTGACCTCGGTGTGTGCCTTCAGAGAACTGATAGAAACAGTGCAGCAGAATACACAGCTTAGGAAACAAGTCTCAGACCAACACCAACAACAGGTCAGTCCTAAGAACAGCATGCATGTTTGAAAAGTGTACGTATTATTATAACAGTATCTGCAGTTCAGTAGCTTAACCTGGTTGTCTAATTTCTGTTTTGAAGGCATCCAAAATTAGCGATCTTGAGCAAAATGTAAACTCCACCAACGAAACGATAAAAGGCTTGGAACAGAAGATTGAACAGGACAAAGTAAGCCTGAGTGATTCATTCTCACCTATTTCTTATTCCTTCAAATAGTCATTGCATTGTTAATGCTACCGTCCTGAAACCCACTTGTGTATTTTGACAGGATGTTGTTTTAGATCTCATCAAGCAGACCAGAGACCTCCGCAGTGAGCTGAGCCAGAGGGACCAGACCATCACCCACCTGTCTGGAGACATCACAGACATCACAGTGCGTTACTCCTCCACCTATTCCACCCGTTATTGTGTCTGAAATAACGTCATCGTTTGCTGTAGTTGCTTATTCATTTACTCTACCACCTCATACTGTAGATAGGTTTAATGTTTGCATAAGTCAAGACATGTTTATAATAATGTCATTGCTCTTCCAGGCCAAGTTCAATGCTGCCTGCCTTGACAGGGAGGATATCCGGGAGCAAAACTCTAAGATGCAAGCAGAGAGCTGTGATCTGAAAGAAGCTTTAGACCGGCGGGGAGCATCCAACAAAATAGAGGTAAGTTTGTTCATGTTCAACACCGCTGTTCATACTATTTTGGTATTATTATTATATGTTTGTGTGTGTCTGTACTCAGGTGGAGGTGTTGCAGGAGGAGGTTGTTTATGCCACTGAGGAGGTCGAGAGACTCACTAAGGTTCTAGATGAGCAGACCAGTCTCTTCCAAGCCTCTCAAGAGCAAACCGCCCAGAAGGACGTCATGATACAGAATCTACAGCAGAAGGTGACTTTTTTTTAATCATACGGTCAAGCAAATCTCAAGAAAACATTTTATTGACATGATTAACAAAACTCTCCTTTTCTATCAGATGCAACAACAGCAAGAAGCTGTTGAAAGAACCATCAGAAATGGGAAACCCCACGTTGATGTTACAGGCACACCGAAATCATTACCTCGGGTAAGACTTGTGCTGTATTTCCTCTTTAATTCTTTGTTTACAAATAAACGATGGGGCCTGTTTTTATTTATTTATAAAGTAACTAAGAAATGTGTTTTCCCCCCTTCTCTGAAGACACCCTGCACTCCAGGAGGTTTCAACAGGGACTGGACCCAGGTGCTAGAAAGCCAGGAGAGGGAGCTGGAGAATCGCCGCTCCTCCATGATGAACCTGGAGATTCTTTTAACGGAGCTGAACGCCGAGAGGGCGGCCAAGAATGAGGAGATCCAAAGGCTGAAGGTATATCTTTGCAAAAGATATTGAATTGATCTACAGCTACACCCATTCATCATGGTGACTGCAGACTCTTCTAGTTTAGTATCTTTTTCCACTCAATTTGAAAAGGTTTAAATAACTGCAGTAAATGTTTTGTTAATATTAAATGCATTTTTGAATGAAGACATTGCCATAAGTTTGAATGGCCTGAAGGTCTCAATGGACTTTGAAGTCCATCGATATTGATGATGTGTTGTCACTGTCCTCAGATGCAGCTGATGGAGAAAGAGACGGTCCGGATTGAGATCCAGTCTTTACTCGACCAGTTTTACAAGCAGAGCCAGCTGACACAGAACGGGAACAATAACGGGTTGAGTTTCTTCATCATTCAGCTATCCTCTGCCCTAAAGTACATCACATCATGTGTTGTGGACGGCTGAAGTAAGATTAATGTTTGTTAATTGTAATTTTCAGTGAAGAGTTGAATGGAGCCCTCAAGCAAACAATGCTTAAAGAGCTGCAGGAGGAGAGAGCAGAGACGGTTTGTGTTTGGTTTTCTACTGGTTTTATTTTCCTCTGTATTGAATTATCAGTTTCTAATTTGTTCACCTCTCATTAATTCACAGAGCAAAATAATGCAGAAGCTCTCCGATACTCATAAAAGGTAATGAATCAGCATTTGGTTATTGTACGTTGTTCTGATCCTTTAATTAATGCTTGACATTTGACGAGGTCTGTCTGTGTTTTTTTCTGTGCTTTGGATTAGACTGCAAGCACAGGACTCGATGTTGGCCCAGTCCCAGACCTGCGTTCAGGAGCTGACCACTGAGCTGAGGAACCGCTGCCTGGAGCTGAGCCTGAGGATGCAGGAGGAGGAGAAACTACTGCAGGTCAGAGTTGGGAGGAGACTCGTATCTTTCACTAAAGAAACCTTTTTGGGATAATGTGTCTTTCAAGTATGGGGGAAAAAAATGGACTCCTGTCTACATAGTCAGCAGCTGAAATAATCTCAGTACCAAGTGGATCTGCTGAGTTCCTGCTTGTACTCTGGAAGATGGCCTGATTGCGACAACGAGGTGACACTATTGTTCCTATTATTTCTGTTTTACAGGAGAACGAGGTTCTCCGTAGGCAGAATGTTCAGCTGTCGGAGGAGAATGGAAAACTTGTGGGGCATAAGAACCACAAACAGAGGATTGAATATCTGGTGAAGCTGAAAAAGGACAACACCAAACTTCAAGAGGTAACTAACATGTCTTATACAATCAAAGGATTTTCTCTTTACATCAATCAACTTTGTGTATTTTTTCCGTGTTTTAAAGGAAAATGAAAAACTCAGAACAGAGATCTTAATGCGGGACAACGGGGGATGTCTGCCACTGGAGATGACGTAAATCCCTGATGATTCTTTAATGGTTTGAATCTTTGTCATTTGCATCTTTCTCAGTGAAAAAAATCGTATACATTTTTTTTGTGACTGTATTGATGTGGTCAACTCTTTTAAATGTTTGCAGTACAAATACATTGTGATTTATGTTCGTTTTCCATTCAGGGAATTTGCAGAAATGATTTTGCTCATGATGTATTCATATTATTACACCTTTTTAAAAGTTTGGCTTGTATGCATACTGTACCTTTACATTGATCTGCTATTGCAGCAGCATAAGACCAGCTGTGATGAAAGCTCCATTAGTCCAGCTCCATCCTTGTTGGGTTTCTTTAGATGTACATTAGTACACCTAGACATGTCTTGGACTACAACAATGCTGAACATAATCTTAATGTGAAAACTGAACATTTCCGTGTTCATAATTTTTTAGGTGCTTGTGTCTAGTGCTGTGATTGTTGATCATCTGAGTTGTATCCATGGTATATGGTTTGTTGTATTTTTCCCATCATACTGAGGTGTATAGCCACTGTCTTTTTTTAGTACAATGAACTTTAAAAATAAGTGTAATACTGTAATTAAAATAATTCTCCTTTTTCTCTTATTTGGTGGTATTGTTTCCTGAACAGTTCAAATAAAAGGACTGTAAAAATGCTACATACATGTGGTAGCTGTGATGGGAAGTACATTTACTCGAGTACTGCACTGTCCAACCGCCAGGGGGCGATGTAACTGGTATTCAACAGTAGACCCACGCGCTTCAATCTCGTAGCTACCCGTAGCTTTTTAGGTGAGAGACTACTAAAAAATGAGAGAATTTCAAACGCCAACAAGATGAAGAAAGTGGTTACTGCAGAACAAATTTCGAAGTGGTTCACCTCGGGGACGGCGTTTGCTAACATTAAACTCACAGAAAAAGCGGTTGAAAGAAAGTCCGATGAAGCGTCGTCGAAAGACTCCAGGTGAGAGAAACGTTAGTCAACGTCAACTGTGACGTTAGCTTAAAAAATGCTAACCTCATGCTAGTTAGCTTCCTTTGAGCCCAATTGTACTGTTCCAGTAACAGACAAATAATCCTGGCTACAGGTATCACTTCTTCTATCGTAGCTACACTCACTGGTTGAAAATACTATATTGCACATAATGCTCAGTTAAATGTTTGAAGATGTCCTCTGGGGGTGCAGAGTTTTAGCTAACATTTGTTACGGTAACGCTAAATCAATTAACTGTCTGTCGGTAAACTAGCTAAATGGTTTATTAAGATGTCTTAACTCTTCCAGCATTATATATGCATGCCACTAGTTTTGTAAGAGCAGATGCACTGTATCACTTCGCTTGTGTTACAGTGTCACGGTGACGAATTTTTCGCGCCAGTAGATTAACGTTACATACCGTCAAGATGCGTTCACGTTAATCGCGTCATTCGCGCCGCGTTATTGCGCAGAAGAGGGGGCGTGGCTTATCGCCCTGGAAGCCGTTATTCACGTAAGCCATTTATTTCCGCCATCAACCATGGAAGAAATACTTGTTGTGGAAGTCCCAGATATTCCGGGGGAACTAAATCCTTCTTGTCTGGGTTCATAACATAGCTGTGGATGTTATCGAGCTGTATTCACTATCTAGCAAGCCACACGCCGGCTGTATTACTACAGCTGTATGAACACACACACTGATTTAACTGCAATAAACGGACAAAAAGGGATGCCGAAATAATTACGTAATGATGCTGATTTGTAAAAATCTCCGCAAGACGAAAAGTAAATAACTTTTAAAATACTTGTTTTCGCAATAGAGCTCGGCTCTATCGGTGCTAAGCTATGCTAACATTGTATCAGCTCTATTAACACTCATCTAGGCGTCGATACGGCAGCGTCTTTTTCATTGTTTGTACCATATGGTTTACCCACAATCTAAATTGCCAAAGCTACGTTTTTAGTGCTTGTCTCTAAAATGAATACACGATATAAAGCGTTACAGGGCTGTATCCTGGCTACTCTCTACTGCTAGGAAAAGTACTCCAATTGAAATGTATTTAGTCTGAAAACACCTAGATCAATTAAAGCCCTTCATTTTTTATTTTATTTTTTTATTTTTAAATTTACCATTTTCCCAGTTACCTGAAATTCACAGAAAACAATACTGAGGACATGACCTCAGTGTCAAACCTGTGGGCCACAGCATGATGAACACGTTAGGAGACAACAACAAAGATCTACTGAACAAACTGTTTTATTTTTTTACAAAGTTTTCCATAATCTTTTTTTTAACCTCTTTAAGGCTTTAAAACCTGTTAAAATAAAAAAAAATCTAGGATGGGAACGTCATTCTTTGGTTAAACTTTTCGGATATTTCTCATGCATGTCTTCACATCCTGTTGACATTATGACGTCATTCTTGCCACCTGACAATACATGTTTGTAATATATGGCCAACTGTACAAAGTCTGATTGAGGTTTTTATTCTAGAAAAGAGAAAATCAGTCGGTCTACTAAGTAGAGTCCAAAAGAGCAGGCGTCTAACTAGTTATTGTCATGAAACGGTTCAATACATTGTCCACCTAGCCTAAAGTCATGCTTTTATTTTTGGTCACAAGCTATGATACCTAGCTTAATATAAATAATCAAGTTTTTGCATCTTGTCTCCATGATATGGACGTGCGAACTGTACTTTCTTGTGTTAAACACAAACCCGCAGCAGAGCTTCCTTTCACAATGTAGTGCTGTACGTCCCTGAGGGCCTTAGAGGAACTGGGTAGTAATCTGGGAGGTCCCAGTCTCTGTTGGACCCTGCGAACAAACCGGAGTGCCGCATGGCCCGATCCACATATCCAGAGATTGTTGGGATCTCCTCCCTTGGGTGGTCTCTACAGTTGGGGACGGTGGGTGTGACGAAGCCCTGCTTCATTATGTAGCAGCTGGTCCAGGCGTCCGTTGGTCGGAGCTCTGCTGCCTGCACTGAGAAGTTCTCCTCTTCGTGCTCCTTTTGGCTCAAGAAGTCTCTGAGCACCTGCTTGAAGACAGAAGCCAGCTCCCAGGGCCTAATGTTGTTCGTGGCAAGCACCTCACGAAACCTATGGAAGGAATCGACCAATAGAGTCAATCAAACACTTGTTGACATAGCAAGGATTTGCATCAACACAATGTCAGTGTACCACATTTTCTATTGGCACTTTCTAATATTGTATAATTGAACCAGGAGTCTCGTAGTTTAAAGAATGACATGTTTAGGACAACAGCACAGCCTTTTAGAAATGGTACAAACACATTTCTCACTAAATATGTTCTTTGATAATGTGCTTATGTAAGCACATAGTAGTGACCCAGGAATTTAATGGGAAATTAGTAAGTAGGTCACAGTGCTCAACCATGTAGAACAATGTTTGTTATATCATTATGGCTAACATAGAGATGATGAGTAGAAACCCCTGGCCGTCTGGCTTCACTCAGCCTTACGGAGCATCCTTCACCTTCACATGTTCACACCCTACATCGCCTGCCCCTGTGACAGTAACACGTAACGGCTTTCTTGGCAGATTGCCCTGCCTCCCTTTTCCCTTTGGGTCTTCTCTGCTTTGCCTGCTGTCAGGCCTTGTGTTGACGCAGTAGCAGCTAGCCACTGTTGACAGCATACTAATGTGAGGAAGGAGCATGGCATGGGCCGCAGCCAAGCACCTTGAGAGCACAGTGGCTGCGTGGACGGGTGGAATCTGGGCACACAGGAACTCCAGCTGGTGTAGCTCTGATGTGGGGATGAGGGTCCGTAACCTGGGGTACTTTTGAAACCAATGGAGGCCCAGGGCGCCGTGGGCCAGCCTGTGCTCTCGATCCAGTTCCCTCACCAACCGCTCGCGCTCCTCCACGTGCCACAGGAGCTCTCTGATCAACATGCGACTGGGCACGACCACCGAGGTCTTTGGAGGTGCCGCTTCTTCTCGAGCCTGCACTTTTGTTTCATGGGACCATTTCATCCAGCTGAACAGGGGCATGGCAGTCATAGCACACGGTCCTGAAGAACTAAAGAAATAAGAATTATTTGTTGGTCCGGACCATCATCACTGTTTTAACACATTTGAATATGCTGCAATATCTGTTTCTCTCAAGGTTGCACCTACAAATGACAACATGGCATTAAACCATGTGACGGACTGCATAAAAGCAGATACAGCAAAAACTAAAGAAGAGAACATAAGAGGGAGAAAAGTAATGCTGGAAAATTAAATATGATTACAAAATTAGTCAAAATCAATTATTTCCTGTTCCTGATGATGAGAAAAAAATAAATGTATATCTATATATCTAGATATATATCTATCCAGCCCCTATTTCTGACAAAATTTCGGCTTCAAAGACCACAGAGAATTGTGTGAGAATACCGCAACCTCAATTCTTTGAGTGAGAACATGTTGATTTTCATTTTATCCATAACTATGTCGTCCTATTATAATAAACATTTTAAGGTTAACAGTGAAAGATGATCACCCAACGATAACCAAGCTGACCTCTGGTCCCTGCCTGCTGCTCTGATTGCCTTCAGTTCAAGTCAAACTCAGTGAAAGACGATGTCCCAGGTGTAAATATTTGGCCTTTTTCCCCAGACTGATGGATCCAACACAGCGTCCACCTGGGATTCAGATGGATTACACCCCCTGCAGGGTCAGAGGTCAGCCTCACTGAACCCAAACCGTTTGTGTGACTTCACACATCGTAAGGTTGCAAAACAGAGCTTTTCATTCGATTTAACTCCAGTACTTAAACAGCTGTCAGTCCTCCAGCATTTGCAGGAAGAAATCATCACAGTAACATCTTGCTGAAAACTGAAAGGAAAGATTTGTACTTACATGTGAAAACTGCACCGCTGATGCTTTTGTGAGATATTGTAGGAGGATCAGCTTTTCACAGAGTACAGCCTCCAGGTCCTTGTCTCCATGGGTCAGTCCATGTGAACTTCATTCCTTCCTTTGCTGTCGACTACGTCCCTTTGTGTCAACCGCCATCCAAGGAGCTCTCGTGTATCGGCAGAAATCCTCCAATGTCTTGGCTGTTGGAAGCGTTTTTCCTCTTTGTGTTATAGCTGTTGTCTTGTCCCTATCGTCCCTCCCACTGCTCCTGTCATGCTGACTTTCTCCAAGAGAGTTGGTCACACATTGCTAACTGACTAAGAGCTGTCACCTCTGCTTTCACCGCACTCGCACGCTCCTCTGTGCAGTGTGCAGCTTTGTTGTAAGGTCAGCGGCTTTTGAAGCTTGCACGGAATGTGTGCATTGGAGAGAAAGGAAGAGAGCGAGAGTGCATGTGTGCACAAGCCGTGGGTGTGTTGCATTTCAGCTCCTCTTAGTATTGTCAGGGTTTTTTTTCCTGCTGATAAAATCCTTCCCCCACTTGGAAGAGAGGGCGAGGCAGAGGCAACTGGGAATGCTCTCCCGACCACAGTGCTGTGGGCCTTGTCCACCAGAGGGAAAGACGACAGGAGGCAGAGACTCAAATGTGCAAACTTACAAATTACCAAGTAATGATGTGGGTAGAGCTGCTGGTATTTCCACCCATTGTGAACGTTTGATTTAAGCTGCTATAAAGCTTAGCCTCGTAGTTTTAGCAGGTTACTCTACATGCATCATTTTTATTCTGTAATTGCATGTTTTTGACCACAATGCTCCTTTGGAGTTTGACAGTTAGGCTTTCTGAGATGAGACTAGTTGGTGTAAGCTGAACAATTGTTTTTTTTATTGCAATTCATTGGTTAATAGAGCCTTAAAAATTATTAACTGCTTAATGTTGCTTCAATTTTGTTTCAGCCAATCAGACGTTCCTGAAGAGGGCAGCCTAAAAAATGTGAACTCTGATGGAGGTTGGTTTAAAACACCAGAATGTGGAGGGAGTGAGTATTAAACTTTGTGTTGGCTTGTTCTTATCCCACACCATACTCACTGACAGGAATCTGCCTCCTGCCCAAAGCAGTCTCACCCGGTTTCTTGTGCATTCCATTCTGTGTCCTTAGGTCCTGCTCCTCCACTTGCCAACTACGAGTCCCCCAGCTTGCCCGTCACCAAAAACAGAGAGCAGGTAAAATACACCATCCATACACCACATGCCCTCCACCCCGCAGCGTGATGGTCTGAAAGTACTCTCTCATTCTCCTGTAGTGCTTTCTATTTTGGTCATGTAAGGAGTTTTACTGACATTACCATTATGTCCTGAGGACTCTGGTGCACTTAAGCTTTTACTGTTTGCTCAAGATTAAGTCAATGTAATTTCATGTTGCAGAACAACAGCCAACTTTAACCTGACCTGTCTGAAATGTTCTGTAGTCTAATAAGGAGTGGTGTGTGTAAATGTCAGGAGCTTGAAGCCGTACTTTCTTTATGCAGATTATAAAGTGTGGACTTCTGGTTACAAATCAGCTTAGCGCACCCATTTGCTGTACAATGTCATCATATATTTCTAAATGTGATATGATACAAATGTCCAAATGGGGTTTCTATTTTTGTTGACGGTTTTTCTTTTAACTGTGCACATGTGTTGTGCTTGTGTTTTATATGTTTGTGTGTGTATATGTGCTTTTTTGCAGCTGATTTCCTTCATAGAAAACAACTCTGTAGTGATCATTCAAGGAGCCACAGGCAGTGGCAAGACCACCCAGGTGCCACAGTACATTCTGGACCACTACAATGAGAAAAACTCCTCGTGCAACATTGTGGTCACCCAACCACGCAAAATTGGGGCCTCCAGTGTTGCCCGATGGGTTGCCACCCAGCGGAAGTGTACCCTGGGTAGTCTGGTGGGATATCAGGTTAGTGCAACATTGAGACAGAATCTGATGAAGGTAAACTGTTCATTACAGATAAATATGTGAGCCTGTACATATGCTCATAGCTCCTACCACTTCTTTTGTCTGTTGTTTAATTAAAAAGGGTATAAAAAACCGCTTGCACCCTAAGCACTCATTATGCAAAACATTATTTATTCAAGTTTCTCACCGACACTACACTATATCAGAAATGGCGACTAAAGCATAAATGCTGATGTCCTGATCGCATATTTTACTGAATATTGACGGATAACGATGTCGGTAAAGCTTTATTTCACACGGTGATGTTTAATGTTAAACTGTTCACGCGTGTGCCGAACAGTGAGGAGTGATCCGTTTCACCATTAGTTGGAGCCTGTGATGTCACGATTGAGATTTTGATATCATGATTATTGTTAGAGTAAATATATCACAGTTTCACGGTTTTCACGGTTACACTACTTAAAAATATTTTATAATGGTTCTATGACAATAGGCTATCCAGAACGTAGGCTCCACAGACAGAGAGAGGGAACGACAGCCCCACTAACAGTCAGTTAGTATTATGATATCCGAAATAAACAGTCGTGAACTACTCCGCCGGCCAATTTAACACTGTTTTGGTCCAGCTACTAGTTAGCTGGTAGTTGTTTTTACTTGAATTGTGCATAAAGGGATGTATGATATCTTGAAGATGTTGGAAATTATTCAAAGTGGTCCCCCCCTTTGTAGTCCATCAACAGCATTCTTTGGATATCCATCCTGTACGACTCCCTCGTCATTTTGTAGATTTCCAAAATACTCCCACACTGCCGATATTTAGGGCTCTTTTTTTTGGTGGATAAAAGGCTGAAATATCTGACATTTTGAATTATTAGAAGAGAGCTCTTTCTTTGTTCCCTCTCCTAATGTTTGTCTTTGAAAGCTGTGCAGTCAGTACATGGAAAGTTATTTTATGCTCAAAGTTGAATCGGCGAACCGAGACGTATTTCCCTGAGGTCAAGCTCTGGGTAGCAATGGATTTCATTCCAGGTCATTTCCTCCATGACCAACCAGTCATGTTGGTTTTGCAAATATTCGTTTTTAAGACACTGGCAGAAGTTAAGGCCGAAAGCTACTGTAAAGGAATCGCATAACAAAAGAAGAAAGAAAAGAAGATTTGGAAATTGTAGTTTGCTCGGTAAGTCAATGTGCAGTGTTGCTGTACATTAGCGTTGATATGGCAGTGCATTAATATGATGTGTTCAGATGATAGGAGTCATAGATTGTGATCATCTGGTCGAGTAAAACAACAAGAAACAAAACAAACGGATGTTGCCGTTGCCCTTTGTCAGATGTCCCAGTGAGAGTGCCAAAAAGAGGTGTGTGTCTTTGCGTGTGTGTATTCCAGGTTGGACTGGAAAAGATGGCTACTGAGCACACACGGCTCATCTACATGACTCAAGGAGTGCTGCTGCAAAAACTGGTTTCAGCGAAGTCCCTCACAGAGTACTCCCACATTTTCGTCGATGAGGTGCATAAACATGAGGCAGAGGATTTTCTCTGTTAGCCCGGCTTCTGTTTGTTGTTTTGTAAATTTTGCTTTATGGTAAAAAAAAATGCAGTTCCCTCATGTTACACTGTGTTTAATATAAGTTTATCATTTTATTTAGTTAGAGTAAGTGTAAGTGTACTTTGCCTTTGCCCAAGGTTCATGAGCGTACGGAGGACATGGACTTTCTCCTGCTGGTTTTGAAAAAACTTCTTCACTCCAACTCGTGTTATGTCAAGGTAATTCAAGATCAAGTAAAATCCCTCTTCTGTTCTCCTTTTGCATCAGTTGGACTTTCACAGGACCTGTGTGCTTTCAGATCATCCTCATGTCAGCCACCATTGACACCAAACAGTTTGCCGAGTACTTCGGCACCCCATTTCATGGCAAAATGATCCCTGCCTATGTGTTTGAAGTGGAGGGGACACCGTATGCCATTGAGGAGTTTTACCTGGATGACCTCCAAACACCGTTTACAAGCAGGGTAATGAGATGGGAAATGTTTTCTGTGCTGAAGCCAAATAGCTAATGTGTGAATGTTGTGTGTGTGTCTGTATCAGACTGAGCTGCTTCATCTAGATGACCCTCGCATTTCAGTGGAGATGTACAATGTCGCCATCAGTCTCATCCAGAGCTTTGATGAGCTGGAGGGCAAAGATTCCAGGTGAGGCCTTCGTATTTCAGCACACTTGACTGCTTTAACAAAGTAATGATCATGTGTGTTTTTGTTTGAGCAGCAAAGCAGAAACAGACGGTGGCATGACTTTCTCAGAGCGGGGCAGTGTGCTGGTTTTCCTTCCTGGTATAAACGAGATAAACTACATGCAGGAGGCCTTGGCCAAGCTGGTCAACAAAAGGTGAGTTTTTGAGATGATCTCTTTGTTGAATCGTACCCTGTAGTTAATACCTATTTATTCTTTGTCATATAAGACAAGTCAGTTTTGTGTAATTCAAAGGGCTTGTTCACCGGTTACTTTTTACTTGTGTTGAATGTTTACCGTTACTGAATGTGCTGCTGCTGTTCAGATTGCAGGTTTATCCTCTCCACTCCTCTGTGACTCTGGAGGAACAGAATGGTGTGTTTCTGTTCCCTGTCCCCGGATACAGGAAGGTGAATAGCATTTATCTTATTCTGTCTCAAGTGTGTTCCTAGTAGCTGCTGTACCAACGGTCTCCTCATCTTAACAGGTCATCCTTTCCACCAACATCGCTGAGAGTTCGGTGACTGTTCCAGACGTCAAATATGGTTAGTTTTTTATCTATTCCCTTCCTCTATGGTTTATAAGACAGTATTTTAAAATCGTAACTATATTGGTGCTTTTTTCTTCACAGTGATTGATTTCTGCCTCGCCCGTCACATGGTCTGTGATCGAGATACCAATTATCAGTCTCTGCGTCTCACCTGGGCATCCAAAACCAACTGCAACCAGCGTCGCGGTACAATAGTTTAGAGCAGAACTTTACCTCCGAAGTGTAAGCCTCTGCTCACTTCTGTCCTTCTGCACTCATCTCCCCTCTCTGTCAGGAAGGGCAGGTCGGGTTTCTAAGGGCTACTGTTACCGCCTTGTTACCAAAGAGTTCTGGAGGAATGACATCCGAGACTACATGATCCCCGAGATGCTGGTAAGAGAATGTCCACTTGCCAAGAGATTTCTTTCTCTTTTTTTTTTTAAACGCTGCTTTGACCCTAATAGGACAACCTTCTGTTTGCCTTCCTCTCAGCTTGCCCCGCTGGCCACCATCCTGCTGAAGGTTAAGCTGCTGGATATGGGAGACCCCCGCTCTATCCTTTCCACGGCCCTCTCACCCCCCAACCTTAGTGACATAGTGAGGACAGTGCTCCAACTCAAAGAAGTAAATAAGTACAGTATATAGATTGATGATTCTTCCCTAAGAGAGCCCTTAATGTCGAGTCAAGTATGAGGCTTTAATGCTGTATTTGGGCTGGCAGCTGACCACACAGATCTGTCACTGAGTGTTACACCAGGAGTTCTCAGCATGAGTCTGTTAGGTAAGGGTGATGAAGGGCAGTGTTGTGTCATGTATGTTTGTGTGTGGAAGGTGAAGTGAAATATGTGAATGATAACTCTGGTTACCTTTTTTTTCTTTTATACAATCTTTCAAAACCAAGTTTCAAAGTGCTCTCCAAAGGCATTCCAGGACCGTGTGGTCAAAGTGAAAAACACCGCAGTGATAGCACAACAAATTATATAACCAGGAAATGTGAATACAGACAACAAGACCAAGTATAAATAGACAGATACAAGTTGTAATATGTCACAATTTTTTACAATTTTTGGAGGTCATTTTAAAAGATGTTACTGAATCTAGTCTGATATTCTCAGACACTAAAGATCCTCGTCCGTAAAAACCCAGCCAGCTTTAGTCCTGAGGATTTAGAAACGGCGTCCTCAGACAGACAGCGTCTGATCTCAGACATATACAACCATGAAGTGTGTATCAGTCAGTGTTCCAATGAATTCATAAAACTAACGGGTAAATAGCCAAGGGGAAACGTATGTAAGTATCACTCATTTATGTCTAAATCCTTGAATATTTGATGTCAAACTGTTGTTGTGAGGAAAGGTTTAGGAGCTGATTGGCGATATAAAGGCTATTGTCTTGATACTAGCTGGATGTTTCATTTTGTAGATGGGTGCACTGTCTGCCAAAAGTGATGGCAGGGGTCACAGTGACGACGGCGAGCTGACGTTCCTGGGCCGAGTGCTGGCCCACCTACCCGTCAACGTGTGCCTGGGGAAGATGATCGTCCTGGGCCACATCTTTGGCTGCCTGGACGAGTGCCTCATCATAGGTCAGTCTGTCATTATGCGACCGCAATGGACCTCAGTCACTGCATATGCACGTGTTCACAACAAATCAATCTGTCATGACAGCACTCTTGAAAATGTGTTTATGTACACAACCATCACTATAAATATTGATGTGATGTGTTTTTTGTGGGCGACAGTAAGAATTTCTCTCATCCTCAGCTGCCTCGCACTCTCTGAAGAGTTTCTTTGCCATACCATCCATGCAGCAGCTTGCTGGCCACAGGTGAGTCACCCCCAGCTGCTGCACTGATTCACAGGCTGTCAGTGTAGATCAGTGTAGATCAAGATGTTTTGGACATTATGTTGTCATGTAACCTGCTCCATGATGTCCAGACCTATCGATTTGACTATTAGCCTACTTTTCCAGCTTAAGTGCCGTCACAGTGTTTTGTGGATAATGATTTGTCTTGCAGTTCAAAACAGACGTTTAGTCAAAACACAATACCATCTCGTGGGCCGCACGGTGGTGTGGTTGCTAGCACTGTCGCCTCACAGCAGGAAGTAAAAGTCGTCGCAGGTTTGATTCCGGGGCTATACAGGCCTGTGTGGAGTTTGCACGTTGGCCATGTTGGCCAGAACATGCGTGGGTTCCCACAGTCCAAAGACATGCAGCTTAAGTTAATTGATGACTCTAAATTGCCCGTAGGTGTGAATGTGAGCGGGAATGAGCGATAGTCTGGCTACCTGTCCATGGTGTACCCTGCCTTCAGCTGGGATCGGCTCCAGCTACCCTGAACAGGATAAGCTAATGGATGGATGGACAATGCATCTCTGTGGACATACAAAACACTGACGAAAAAATAAATAAAGAGCAGAAAGTGTGTGAGAAAGTATTTATAGATCTTTTTAAAGTCTCTGTCATAGCATATCCGATATCAATCCACTGTTATATGATAGACTAGCAGCGCCTCTCTGCTCTTTATCATCTATTTGGGCTTCTAGCTATTTGTATCGCGTTGTTTTTTTCCCCATGAGCTCCAACCGGAGGCTGCTTGCCCTTATGCTTTGTATTGATGAGGATGTAACCGGCGATAAAAGCACAACACGCACCAGCACCATTCAGTGTCCGCCCGGCCCGATCTGCTCCCACAAATGGGCTTCCTCGGTCTTTGTTAGGATTGTGTCTGTCTGACATGTAAAGCTCAGGACAGACAGACTCGGCAAAAACAAGCTTCTCCATTTTCTACAGTGACCACCAGCGTCTTTCTGAAAAGCTCCTATTCGGAGCAGCCTCCCAAAAAAGGCTCGCACCATATGGACACAGGCCCTTTCTTCAGTCCACCTGCAACACATTTTCATCAGAATACACGCAGACACAGATGTTGGATCTGTGTATCGTACACTTTTTCTTTGTGCACTGAATAATATTTATCATTCCAGGAGCAAGCTGGCCTTTGCCCGTGGCACACCAAGTGATTCCATAGGTTTTGTCAACGCCTTCAAGGTAATGTAACGCTCCAATGGATTTACATATTTTCCTGATGGCTGTTGTTTTTAAAACCCTTCCCTATTGTCTTTTACTGTCAGGCATGGCACCTATCCAGAAAGAAAGGACAGCTGAGACACCCAAAGGTGACGGAAACATCAACCAAACCTGAGCTCACTGAAACACTCGCACATTTATTTAAACAAAACTGATTTTCTTTTTTTAAGTGTTGAAAATAAGAATAGTCTGCTACTGTTGCTGTACAGAGCCACCCCTGTTTGAACTGCATTTAGTACGCTATAGCTCACAGAGCAGTTGCAAAGGGAGAATAGATGGTTTATTCAATTTCACCTCAGTTGGAGAAAAGTGTCTCTGCCTATCTTAACATTTAAACTATTCACAAAAGCTTTTTGTTTGGGCATTAAGAGTCGGTGCAGCACTCTCTTCTCTTGTGTAATTATTTCTTGAAGTGTAAGAAATGTTTACCGTTGCTGCTTTCTTCTCTTAGGATGAGTTGGACTGGGGAAAAGAGAACTTCATTCAGATCAAGAGGATCAGGGAGGTACAGAGATGGAGCCGAGAGCTGGGTCACATGAGTTCATCAAGCCACATCACAGGATGTCTGTCATCACCCGTCCTAGTCTAACAGTGAACAACAGGCATCTTGTTTTTAGTCGTGTTACCAACAATGAAACTTCATGTAATCTTTATAATGCTGTCACTAGCAGAGGAGCGGGTGGGTAGTATTGACAGTGTTTAAACTTGGCCTTTAAGTTCCATTCCAGATTGTAGCTAGTTAATGATCATAGCCTCTTGGTGCACAGTCGACTGTTAAACATGTCTTGTTTTAAAGAGATAATATTTTGAATTTGAGCTGTAAAATATGATGGCTCAGAAGTAACTCCCCGTCCAGGTTGCAGAGCTGTACGAGGACCTGAAGAAGCGTGTGTCCCAGTTCAACATGCATGTGCCGGAGAGCATCCCCTCCTTGGATTACACCAGCGCACACAGGCAGAAGTTCCTTCTTCAGGTTAGAGCCCAGTGCTGCACGTTGTGTACATTAAGCTATACACTTCAGATCCAGTCGTCGCTACTAATAATATATTCAGTTACTGAATAGACGAGCCTAAATACCAGTCTGTTTTAGGTTGCACCTCTCTCTGTCTTAGGTGGTCATTGCTGGTGCCCACTACCCCAACTACTTTGTCCAGGGAGACATAGATGAAGACCTGGCCATCAGGGAGTTGAGTGGCTATAACCCCAGAACAACAGTGATGGTACGACGGGCGGTACTGATATCTAATATTGGGCCAATCCTGACTCAAAAAGCTGGATCTGGTATTTGTGAAAAGTTACCAAGTTGCTGGTGTACGCTTTATTATTTTAGTAATAAATAACCATCCAGTAAATTTGAATTGATGTTTTTATTAGTTATATTTTGTTTGACAAAGTTAGGAAAGCAATGTTTAAATCAAGCCTGATGTGGCCTTTTCCATAAAAGAATGATCACAGTCACTTCCACACAGTGATGAGGAATACAGCTGTTTTAGTTAAACACTAGCATCGGATCAATACTCGGTATCAGCTGATAACCAAAGCCCAAGCTTGGGACTGAAAAAGCCAGATAGTTGCATCCCCAGTTGAGAGCCAAGAATTGATTACTATTCAAAATCATATCATCTTTATTGGCACTTTTCCGGAGTGTAATGATCATCGAAACCCTTATGGGCTGAGTCTGGCTTTCGTCTGTTCGCCCCATTACGTAGGATGCAGGGATATTGTAAAATAACACCAGACCACGTGTTGTTTTCAGCTGAGGAACCTCCCTCCATACCCATTCCTGTACTACAAGCAGCTGCAGTCTCTGTTCCGTCTGTGTGGACAGGTCAAAGCCATTTCCTTTGAGAGCTCCAGGTAGTGAAAGCCACTGTTGCACATCATCAACTTTTTAAAATCTGCTCCATTTTATTTAAACAACATTGAAATGTGCATACTCATAATTGTCTGACTGTGTGTGTGTGTGTGTGTGTTTTCTCAGAGCATATGTGGAGTTCTACAGGACAACCCACGATGCGGGGGTGGTGCCTGAGGTGTCTCTCGCCCTCCTCCTGGCACAGCATCAGGCTCCTATGGACCTGACTGTCTTCCCCATCGAGCAGATACAATCCTTTCCTGGGTGTAAACACATTACTAGCTTGAAATATTCACGGTATGGCACTCTTTACACATCATGGTGACCTTCTTTCTGCATGCAAAAAAATGTCATAGGAGGAAGAATATTCAACTGTGTCCGACTTTTGGGGCCTGAAGTGTCCCACCCTAACTGTCTTTTTGGAAAGTGGAACCCTCTGCACCACAGGCTGCATTGGTCAGTGCCCCTGCACTGAGCCTTAATATAATCTGACATGTTCACGCTCTGCATGACTCCAGCTATCACTTGGAGTCAGAGAGGGGAGGTTTCAGGCTGAGCCAGCACCAGCTTCTTCCTACCTCCCTCTGGGTAGGAGATGGGGTGACTTTGCACATTATTAGCTATCCAACAATAATACAATTCATCAACTATTCTCACTTCTGGCTTTGGCTTTAACAGTGATAATTCCACCCGCCTAAAAGTTTACAAATGTTGGCATGTTGTGATTACCCTGAAATTGATTTGACGTTGTGCTTCTTGTTATTTAGCATCATTTTTTTAATGCTCCACTGGATTCAAGCATCCACCCTGCCGAAGTACTCCTATATGTTAGCAACACACAGAGGCTCTGTTTAAATACTGAAAAAACATTCAAGTTGGGTTCTCTACGTGCTGTTGCTGTGCAGGGTGAATGTCGACTTCCAGAGCCAGTCTGTCAGCCCAGTGGGCCTGGTGAGCAAGGTGATTGACCCAGACAAGCTACCCCCCAACCTCTTGTTTGTGGTCAACATCACAGAGGTCAGTCCTTTACATTTAACTTGGTCAAACGGGTCAATTTCAAAAGAGATGTCTAGGTGTTGGGTTTTTCATTAATGTTTGAATCCTGAGTGGTTGTGTCCTCTCTTGACTCTGATCTCTGCGTCAGGTGGTGGAGGTCGGCCATTTCTGGGGCTTCCGAGGAGACGAAGCCAGCTTGGAGAAGCAGCGCCATCTGACAGCGGAGATAAACTCCTGTACGCTGCACCCTGTAACCGTGTCGCTCTACCCCAACCTACTGTGTCTGGCTCCTTACTCTGAGATCAACGAGCAGAACATGTACTACCGCGCCAAGATCCTGCACATGCGTGGCAATACGGTGGAGGTGAATATTGCTCACAAGCTGCAGCTCTCAAGATGTCGCACCCATTCAATTTTTCTCATTACGAATCTCCTTTGCTTCTCTACTGTGGACATGTGTCTGTGTTTTGTACTCATGCAGACAAAACATTTCACAGACATACCATTGTCTCCAGGTATTCAGGCTCAAAAGTTTAAAACTGACCTCAGTGTTAGTCTTTAAATCATTCTTAACAGCAGTATATGATAGCAGTTGCTGGTGTAACTTCATGTACCAGAGTGTAAGATATGTTGTTATCCTGCAGGTGGTCTTCTTGGACTTCGGCAACACCGCGGTTGTCTCCTGCAGCAGCCTCAGGGAGCTCCCGTCTGACTTCCTGTCTCACCCATTCCAGGTAGTGGTCAGAGAATGATGGCACACGTATCTGTTCATCTGTCCAACCTGTGAACTAACAGTAGCACACAAACACTCTGCTCATGGTCTCAGGCGGAGGAGTTCCAAGTTATTGGAATGCATCCGTCAGCCAAGTCTATCATCCTAGGGAACCAGTGGAGCAGCCAAGCCCGCGATCGGTTCATGACACTTGTGAAGGGCCATTCACTCATCGTGTCGCTGTACTCAATCCTCCATGGTGTCACTCGTGTGCAGCTGCTCAGCAACACAGAGACGACCAACACCAGTGTGTTGGACATTATGGTGGAAGGCGAACATGCTGTGAAGACCGAAGAGAGCTTAGATTCCAAGGTAACTCACCATTTGGGAGCTCAGGTTGTCCCACATGAACTGTATTAGGCAGTGTGCAATATAGAAATCAATCAATCATAACATACTGATAGCAATACTTAACCTAAATATGTCCTTTTAGTGTCAACGACTTGCCCCTTGCGAGCTTGTTATTCTCCTCTTCAGAGGAAGAGCAGTGGCTGTGGTCAGCCTGGATTAACATCAGTTACAGTGCACCTCAAAGTTTTAATGACTCATATACGGCATCACAACATCCACAGACATTAACCAAACCTACAGCGCATTGGACTTGAAACGTGTGTAGGGTGGAGAATGAATTTAGCATTGTTGTGTTGAGACAAATCTTAACTGAATTATCTCAATCCTGCGGGCCCAGATTCATAAAGATCCATTAAAATGACATGCGCCCTTCTCAATATAGACGTCTTTTTTTTTTTGTGCACTTGCAGCAAAACCATGAATCTCTGATGTCCCTGTACAAGGACATGGAAAGCGGTACATATGTCTCCAACGCTGCCAGCAGCTCCTGGAAAGAACGCAAGAAAGAGGAGAAGCAGCTCGTTGACGACCTACTCGCCCACTTTTCCAAAAGCCGCCAGTCCCAATCCAAGACGAAGGCAAGATGCCCTCCAGTTTACAGAATATTCATATCATATCTGGACTGAAATATTTTCAAGAACATTATTACAAAGTGCTTTAAAGAAAAACAGTAGCAGGAATTAAAAACAAATAATTACAATCAATAAAGAGAGGAGGGATTTAAAATAGGACACAGAGTCTAAATGTCTGAGATGCTGATATTGTGGGGTTGATGATGTCATCACCTCTGCACTGTCTGTCGCTCTCTGTTTGTCCATGAGATGGAGCCATTTCAGTTCATGTGTTGAGTTCATTCAAAGCCACACCCATCCTGTCTGATGAGCAGAACAATGATGACATGAAGTCACGTGATGTCTGACTGCAGCCTTCCTTCTAACACCACAGGTTCCTCTGCATGGACCATACAGTCCTTATAAGGTCAACTTCCACACCTTGACCAACAAGACCTCCTACAAGTAAGCAGTTACGTACACAACGGCCAAATTAACATCCAGGTTATGAATGAGGCTCATTGCTTGTGTGTGTCCTCCTGCAGGACAGTGTGTATCGAGAGATCCAGCATCAACTCCTTGGCCCTGAATGAAAACCCTCAAAACAAACATCAGAGGATGCTGGTGGCTGGGAGTGTGTCAGTCAACTCCACAGGTACCAGACACAGCATCTCCTCCTAAGTACATAGCCATTAGTGTCTGACTGCACATGCTCCAGGTTCGTTCCACACACACTGGATACTACCTGCCCAGCACCAGACGGCATACAGACAAAGTTAGCGACTAGCTGGTGAACATAATGTCTGTATGTCTCCGTGTCGGCTGAATGTGAAAACATGCCCTTTTGTTCAGTGGTTGCCGAACCTTTAGTGGCCTTCTAAATGTCAACATCAACTATAGCCGCTTTAAATGTGTGGTTGTGTTGCAGGGGACCGTATTCTACTGAAAGACACCTCCATCATGCCAGACATCCCTGGACTGCCTGCACTTCTAACCATGCTCTTCACCCCCATCATGGAGTTACGGTAAGTCAGACACACACTTATAACTGCACACCTTTTTAAAAACAGTATAATCCAAACACCCATGTTAATATTCCCCGCCCATGTTTTTGTAGCACCAATGAAGCGAGGACGTGCTACACTGGCGCCCTCTGTGGCTTGGGCTGGAACAGTCAAACACAGCAGGGCATCCTCCCCGAGCATGACATCGAACTCACCTTTGACGTCAAAGTTGACGTAGAAGACATAATTGAGGTAAAAGTGTTACTTTTTGGAATCTAAATAAGATTTTGCAGTATGGTTTTTGTTATCGTCAGTATTTCGACTATAATACATATCTAAAACTGTAGTATAATAGCAGTAATATATACTACAGATCATATTGTACCTTGTAGTATTGGTACTGGTGTGCAACTGATTCTTGTCTATTAAATACCACCAATCTACTCTATGATACCTTAATGCCTATATTACACGATAAAGCGTTCTCGTATGTGTATTACTGATGAGTTCTGTGTTTTGTTTCTTTTTTAGATAAACGCCCTGCGAGGGGCTATAAACCGTCTGGTGTGTGAAGGGCCCAATGGGACGCTGCATCTGGGGCGCGAGAGGATAAGCCGACTGCAGGACGACTGCAGGGACCGCCTCACCAGGTCACATACGTACACCCACACAAATCAGCAAGAAGTTCAATCAGTGTGTATGGAGTTATAGATCTGTCTATATTATGCAATGCAGGCTTTTCACCAAGTCACCGCCAAGGGAAGCTGATACTCAAGTGTACTACGAGAAAACTGAGAAATGGAACCAGGTACGGTCCATGATAGAAATCCTGCATTAAAAAATGATGACTTTTTATTTGATCGTCAGCCCTGATGCATGCTTTTTGAGCACATTTGAGCAATGCGTGTTTGTGTCTTGATGATGCAGGTGGATCCTGCTCTGAGGATGGATGTTGTAGAGCCGAGTGAAGGAAGGGCCAGAGGCGTTCTCTTCCAGCTGCATCCCGTCACCCTCCTCAACTGCTAAAATCAGCCGTGCTTCTTGCATTTGTGTTCAATTGGAACAGATTGTAATGTTCTATAAGCAGTTTTGATTGCTTAATTTTTTATTTATTTATGTTTAGAGGAGTATACTTTTTAAGTTCAAATGGGTCTGTAGCATTCAACAGTACAGCAATATCCTCACTCCTTACTTTATTGTTTGCAGCTGCCGCTGGAGTCGTTATTCCGTTTAAATATGTTGCTGCTAATAAGAAATGTAAAAGTTCATTGATGAGAATCACGCTGTACAGCTCTGTGTAACAGCGCTTCAGCAGTGGGACATTAAAAATAGTTGTTGGCAACAGATGAGGCTTGTCAATCAGTCTTCATTCAAACAAAGTGTCATTGTGACCCGAGAGTCAAGTTAAATATACACACACACACTCTCTCTCTAACTAAACTACTACGAGAGGAGAGGTGCGTCTGTACCAGAATTGGTTGGCTTGTATTTTTAGCTCATCATTCCAGCTCTCCCATCAAGTGTTAACACGTCAAATTTAGCTTTGGTGTCGCACGCACGCACGCAAACACACGCACACACACCTCTTCACTCACTTGAAGTTGTCAGTAAAGTGGCTGAGGAGATGTTATACATCAAGGTACATTTATTTTTCTTGTTCTTGTAATTAAATACATAGTGTAAGTGCAAATAGATAAAGAGTCCAGGGTCTAAAGAACTACAGAGTATAGCTGAACATAGTACAAAGTTGGACAGTTATTCAAACAAGCTAAATATCACCAGATACTCCTTGTCTTCATAGTAGATGTACAACAGTACCTTAAACACGAGTGTGTGTATTGTTCCTTATGGTTATACAAAAGCAAAAACCCTACAATTACCACATCTAAGACGCATATCGTTAAATTATGTTGTGCTCGGAAACACCAAAAGGAAATCATTTTTGCTATTTATATATATGGACATATACTGAGGGAAGCCCTGCCGGCTAACTCGGAGACATGAAGCGGTATTTAACATCACCAGCAGAGCATGTCTGTGGGCGTTTTGCTGTTTTGTGCCAAACCGTAGTTTGTGGTCAGCACTGCGAAGCAGAAATGTAGCGTGACTTTAAAAACCGCACAAAAGATATCAAATATTTACCCAAGGCTCGACTTCATGCACTTTTATGATAAGCAACACAAAAAAAAGTCAGTTTCTTCTTTTGTTTTCTAGTTATGTACTCGTCTACCTAGAAACAGGATTATGCATGTGTGACTGTGTGTTAGTGTTTAGACTGCTATAGACAGGGTGACGGTTTCTCCAGTGGATGCTTTGAGAGAACACCAAGATGACGTTGCACGATGCCCCACAGATGACGACCAGGCTCTTCAACAGTGATCGAGCTGCCTGCCTGAGCTGGACCGGACTGTCAGCTTCACGGTGAGACAGACTGCTCTACTCCTCCTTCCTCTTGGCCCCGGGGATCTTTGCTTGGATCCTGTACAGAGAAAACAACCGTTAGTACCACGTGTCCAACAAGGTATTTACTCCAGCTCAAGTTGTGCTTATTATACTTCATCTTAAACCCAATGTTTTTGTTCTTTCTCTTTTTATGGCAGTCCACAGAACTGACCGTCAGGTTTTACTATAATTGGCAAATAGATAGCAGTCAGTCCCAAAAGAACTGCAGGCAGACATTTTGGCATCAATTAACCCTTTAGACTTCACTGTTTGAATGCTCTGGGTTAACACGGAGCTAATGTGTGTCGGCAAGTCAGTTGAACAGCTGATCCACTATTCACCCTGTGCAACATGTTATTTTATTAATCTTAAAACAGATTAGATTCTTAATTGATAACATGAATGAAGGTTGCAAATTGGAAGATTTGCTGAGCACAATTGCTCTTTTCAGCAACACACAAATACCTGGACGCTGCCCAGTACAACTGCAGTCTTATCTGCAGGCCACTGAGCAGAGGAGTAAGGGGTTTAAGTGCCTTGCACAAGGGCACATCAGTGGCTCTAATGAAGGTACATCGAGTGCTGCTCATGTTGTTTGCCCCAGAAGGCTCCTTACTGTATCTGAACAGGGTGCTGAAACGTGGTGCTTGCAGCTACATTTGCTTTTTATATCGCGAGTGAACTTTGAACAAATAAGGTCTGAATGGCAAACACTCACTTCCCCACCACAGAGTTGACTTGGGTCCGTATTAGTCCCACATACTGATCAATCTGTGCCTGAAAACAAAAGGAAAGTGACGCGTGTAAATACCAGACAACATTCTGTAAACTTTACGTATCGTGATGCTCAAATTCCTACCTGATGTTTCTCGTAGACCACAGGCATGCTGAACATGGAGACCACAGCTGTAGAGGCATGGAGAGAGTCATGGTTAATTCTGACGCTTGTGTCAGCAGCCAACACTTATCTAAGGTAAACTGGAAAAGTAAACAGATAATGTACACGTTGGACAGTGAAGTACACATGTCCAACAAATTAATTTGGTTCTGGCAAAGTCTTAAGGGACGTGCTGTACTTCTCATTCATACATACGATACAATATAACTTTGTTACATGTACTCTGTTCATCAAGCTTCTGAAGACTGTTGAACTTCTGACACAGATAAGGCAAAGAGAGTGTGTGCGAGTCAACAACACGCTTGGAAGTTTGAGTCGGAATGACCTCACCTAGGATGAGCAGTGTCAGGCCGTTGAAGAGAGCGCCCACGTAGGTCAGCAGCCACATCAAAACAGCAAACTGAAACACACAGACATGACATGTTTTAATCACCGTAACCTGCACGTCTGACAGTCTATACGTGTACGACCAGATTGTTCTGGTGTCTGAGTTCTTAGTTTCATGAGTCAAGGAGCCCCACCGGTGGCCCCGAGAAGCAGAGCCGATCTTACACCGTACCTGACAGTGATGCAGTTTAAAGTTACTCGCAGATATCGCCACCGCTTGCTAGCGATGCTAAAAGGCAAACCAAGCGAGTTTGAGGCAAACCTTCAAGGAGTCGACCAGGTCTTGTACGAGGAACAGCCTGCGGAGCTCCTTCATGCAGGTGTTGGTGTACAGTAGGATTTTGTCGGCATATTTGCTAATCTGGTCCTGGGATAGAGCGATTTCAATCTCCAAGTAGGCTCTGGTAAGAGAAACGTAGACCTTTCAGTTAGTAAAAGCTACAGACGCTTTTCATGAAATCCATTATTGAACAAGGCTTAATTCTACTCACTTGAAAGGGTGTCCGTCATCGGTCTTCTGCACAGCCTGCAGCACAGACTTGTAGATCCTGAAGCTGACGGTGGCAGAGAGGGCAGCGAGGGCTAAATAGGCTCCGACACTGACCACGCTGAACTGGGTCAGCGAGAAGAGAAGCAGAAGCACGCTGCTGAACACGGCCCCCGACTGCTTCACATTCCTCCAGTAGAGCAGGTCGATCGCTGGAAGGGAAGGACATAACAAGGACAAACGGAGTTAGGACCCACAACCGGCACGACCTGACCGCCTGCTCTCTCAGACGTATCCGTTTCAAAGTGGATCGGGCTGCTGCGCGCTACACACCACACATTTGGGTCAAATATCTGGAAGCCGCTCACAACCCAACGTCCTCAAGAGATCTTCCGCTGTCACGTGATCCCGTTTTTAATCCAGCTTCCTAACCTAGCTTTTCATTAAGTAAGAGTTAGCTGTGGAAGCTGTAAGGTGGCGTTAAGGTGTCTTGAGGGATGGTTTGCAAGTTCAGTTTCTTTCCTCCTATATATATAGCACGACCTTTGGAGGAGATAATACCTGACTCTCACCTGTCGAGCAAAGTGCCCGTGTTGCGACAGTCCGGACCTATGTGACTTCATGTTTATCTGACGTGTACTTCTGGTCAGCGGCATCTGGTCTGGTCTCATACGTATGCAAACACACATGCAGCCGGCAGAGGAACCGTCTTACACCGAACGTACACCTGCACCGGCACAATTAATTATTGACCTACAGTACAGCTCAGCGGAGCCAGTAGCAGAAATAGAAGCACTATCAGCAGTTCACAGATAACGGTTCAATGTGACCTGGCCAGACCAGCAGATCTGTAGTCGGCGATGAAGGATAACAATGCGGTGCCATTAATGCAGTGAAACGCCGCGGTTCCTCCGAACCGCGTCACTCGTACAGGAACAAACTTGAAATATACAGCATGCCCTGCTTGTGCATTTTGCTGCACCAGTTTTCCTTTTTATTCTAACGTTTTCTTTTCCTCTGTTCTTTGGGCGGTGGGGCCTGTAATACAAAGCCACTAGCAAAGATGAGAGGGAGAAGTGATAACTGAGGATTAGCCCAGTGTACCATTACAGCCGACACGGTCCTCCTCTGGCAGTCGTCTGTGTCGGGTGGAAACACAGGCCTGTTTCCATGAGAACTGTCGGCTGCTCGTTTCACCTCTGCTGAACCAGCTGCCTCGACTGCTGCACGTCTAAACGGCACTACCGGGGTTTTGCCTTTCGTTTGTTGGTACAGACACCTGGACGTCCTTCACGTCACACCGGGAGGCAAAGCAGCACCGGTACGTTAATGTGAACTTTTGTGCCTGGGGAGATGAGAGAATCGTGGCAGAGGTCTCTGGGGGGGGGGGTCTTACTCTTTTCTCTCTGAGCTGTATGCCTGCCTGCTCTAATTTTAGCTGTGGAGCTGTGAGCAGCATAGTGATGACGGCCATCTTTACTCTCCACTAAAAAAGGCATCTGTGGATGCCAGAAAGGCAGGCTAAACCCGTGTGACAGAAGAACAGCCGTGACCAAGTGAATCTCTGCTACCCACACTCCTATACCTCCTGTACTGTAAAACAACATGCATATTCTGTCTGAACCAAGAGGGACTTACAGTACCCATCTGCCCCGGCACCCCCTCCATCAAATCAAAGACACTACTCATTCAGAAACCGTGAGAACACAATCCATGTGCCCTATAGCTGCTGTCCATGCACCACTCCCCACAGGAGCTATTGTTGCTGCCACCACTCACAAACTGTCCCTGTGGCTACTGATTTGCGTGGAGATGCTCACATACAAAACACACAGGTAGCACACACAGCAGCATTAAAACAACACAGACACATCAACGACAGACGGAGAGACGGGTGTTGACCGGCAACAGAGACAGGTGCCTTGTGATGTGCTGCCTGCAGACAGAAAGCTGTAGCTAGTGCAGTAGAAGCATGTACTGACCTGCGGGTCCCATGGCTGCACAGGGAAAGAGGCAGCTGCTTTATCCACGGACAAAAGGAGAGCACTGGAGGGGGAGTCCCCCCCCCCCCCCCCCTGCACAGGAGGGGAGGGGCCACAGCCACACCAGCCAATCAGTGCAGGGGGACTAAGGCAGGGAGGGTGGGAGGAGGGGTGTCTATGGGGTGCGGTTTCTAGAGAA